GTTTTGTTCCTGAGCTGAATGGGTGACTGGATAATCAGGATCTCTCTTTAGAAGATGCAGGAAGCTCTTGTACAATTTCCAGTTTTACAAGAGTCTGTTCTTTAATAAACCTCAAGTTTTTATTTATTTCCAAATAAATATAGAACTGAAAGTGATAATTCATGCTTTCTATAACAAAGGTGTTATGACTCTGTCCAAATGTTAGGACACAATCAAGGGAGCATGTTACTGTTGTTTTTTTGTTTTGTTTTGTGTTTTGTTTGTTTTTTTGCCAATAACCCTATCTATCCTGGGTTGGGTTAATACCTTAAATAATTTGATGGAATAATCTACATGATATAAAATTGCAGTTACTTAAAGGTGCAAGATAAGATGCATTTTATCTTGGGATAGATGCATTAAACTGGGATTGCATTGTATAGTATATGCATATGTGTAAGCACTTGAATAAAGGTTTATATTCTATAAAAGTACAGAATAAAAACAGTAGTTCCCCTTACTCATGGGTTCACTTTCTGTGGCTTCAGTTATCCACAGTCAATGGTAGTCCAAAACTATTAAATGGAAAATTCCAGAAATAAAAATTTGTAGTTTTAAATTTTTGCTGTGAGTAGCATTATAAAAACTCTCACCACCTCACTCTGTCCCATCTGGAATGTGAATTATCCCTTTGTCCAGCTGTGTATGGACAAATTATCCCTTTGCCTGCCCCATTAGTCACTGAGTAGCCATCTTGATTATCAGATTGACTGGCATGGTTTGTGTTCAAGTAACCCTTATACTAGCCTAATGCTATGTCACAATGCCTGTGTCATTCACCTCACTTCATCTCATCACATGAGCACCTCACATCATCACAGGAAGGGTGAGCAGAGTACATTAAGATATTTTGAGAGAGAGAGAGAGAGAGAGAGAGAGAGAGAGAGAGAGAGAGAGATCACATTCATCATGGTCTAATTAGCATATTAGCGGTAGAAGCTGGGCCTGCGAGGGCCAAGGCAAGCATCTGCGGCTGCGAGGGCTGGGCCCCTTGCACGAATTTCGTGCATCAGGCCTCTAGTATTGTTATAATTGTTCTATTTTATTGTTAGCTATTGTGAACCTCTTATGTGCCTAATTTATAACTTAAACTTTATAATAGGTATATACAGGGATGGGCAAAAGTAGTTTTACAGTTGTGCGTAGAGAAGATAATACAATAATTAATGAATAATAATACAAGAATAAACTGTACTTTGTGCAACTTATAACTGTAAACCTACTTTTGCCCACCCCTGTGTGTATACGAACAAACAGGATATACAGATTGTGGTACTATGCATGGTTTCAGGCATCCGCTGAGGGTGTTGGAACACATCTCTTGCAGGCAACGGGGGGACCACTATAATGGTATTTTTAGCAACTACAGCTGACCCTTGAACAACATGGGTTTGAACTGCACAGGTCCACTTATACGTGGATTTTAAAAAATAAATATTGGAAAGTTTTTTTGAGATTTTTTTACTAGCATGAGGCAATTATATCAATTATCCTAGGTTACCTTAAAGCAATCATATTGCTGTAAATGAATATAAATTTCCTTTTCACATTATTTTTTTATTTTTTGATAATTCTTTTTTTAAAAAATATATTTTATTGATTTTTTACAGAGAGGAAGGGAGAGGGATATAGAGTTAGAAACATCGATGAGAGAGAAACATCAATCAGCTGCCTCCTGCACGCCCCCTACTGGGGATGTGCCCACAACCAAGGTACATGCCCTTGACCGGAATCGAACCTGGGACCTTTCAGTCCGCAGGCCGATGCTCTATCCACTGAGTCAAGCCGGTCAGGGCTATTTTTTGATAATTCTTAAAACTGATGATGACTATAAAGGGACTCATTAGCTATAGTCCTTCTAAATTTGTGTACATTTGAAAAATTCTATAACCAATCCTATATAATAAAAGCCTAGGTACCATTATGCCCTTGTGAGACATCATCACGTCATCACAAGATGGCCGCCACAAGATGGCTGGCAGGGGAGGGAAGTTGTGGGCGATCAGGCCAGCAGGGGAGGGCAGTTGGGAGCAATTGGGCCAGCAGGGGAGGGCAGTTGGGGGCAACCAGGCCTACAGGGGAGGACAGTTGGGGGCAATTAGGCCAGTAGGGGAGGGCAGTTGGGGTTGACCAGGCCTGCAGGAGAAGACAGTTGGGGGCAATCAGGCCGGCAGGGGAGCAGTTAGACGTCAATCCAGCTGGCAGGGGAGCAGTTAGGAGGTGATCAGGCTGGCAGGCAGAAGTGGTTAGGGGCAATCAAGCAGGCAGGCAGGTGAGCGGTTAGGAGCCAGCAGTCCCAGATTGTGAGAGGATCCCAGATTGGAGAGGGTGCAGGCTGGGCTGAGGGACCCCCCCCCCCTGCACGAATTTCATGCACCAGGCCTCTAGTAGTTAAATATAAAGCAACTAGAGAAGGGAAAAATGGAAAGTAGAGGTTATTTGTTGAGAACCTAATGTGACCGACACTGTGCCAGGTGCTTGGTAAATTTCAATTAAAAAAATCTTAGTAACAACCCCTTGAGATGGATATTATGATTCATGGTGATTAATGAAACATCAGGAGCTTGGAGACATTAATTAATTAACTCACAGCTAGAAAAGAGCAGTGCAAGAATTTGACCCTTGCTTGGGTTCCATTCTTAGTTGATGTCATCACTGGTATCCCATAACCATATTGCTAAGTGGACAAGCTGGACAAGCCGAGGCCACACATCTGTTTAAAGGCAGAGAAATGTTTCACAACCATGTAGGTTCTGTAATAGAAGACAAACATGAGCCTGCTAGTGAGATGTTTCAGCAATGCCCCTTAGCTTTAAAGATGCTTTTGAGTTTTTCTTGTTGATGTTGAAGTTGCTAAATTTGCCTGCTGTCAAGAACATTGCTTTGTACCAAAACCTACTTATCTCTTCACATTTCCCTCTCCCCTTTAGGATTCAAAGCTTGGCAGAGACCATGCTTTTATAATTCCCTGTGCCCAGCTCCTGAAATAAGAAGAGATGCTCCTAAATGAATGACCAAGAATGTTCATGAAACAACTTCATCTCCATGCAGAAAATCTCCTTGTGCAAGATGCTGAGGCAGATTATATACCTCCAGACTCCAAGAAAGGACTCTTGCTGCATATTAGTTCTCAACCTGTAAATCAGGAGATAATTTATTCTATTACCATTTGATTTTCTGCTTTTCCAGGAGATGGAAAAGACAACGTTTCTGCATCTCTGAGTGGTTTCCATGGCAGAAGCCTGGGGAGGGGGAAGTGTTTGAAGTAGTTGTTTTAGTTCTGAAGGTTAACGCCAGAAGTGTTACAAGCTTGTCTTGCTTGCCTTTGCTGATTCCAGTCTGCTAACACCACTTGACTTTTCCATTTCCCCAGAAATTTCAAGCAACTGAGTCGTGCTGGGATGCCACAAGAAGGGCCCGAGACGGCTGATAGATTGCAGGAAAGGGATATCTGCAGAGTTTGAAGTTCTGTGTCTTTATAGTTAAACAGGATTTTGACTTTATCCCAGACCTCAGATAGCTGCAGGCCCTGCCTCCTGTGGTAGAGGCCTAGACAAAGTCTCCTCAGGTGGGGCAGCGGTACGGAATGTCAAGGTTCTTAGCCCTGAGCAGCTTTGCTCTGCTTCCGTGTGGGTGGATTTAGGCAGCTTTTCAGGGAGCACAAGATGGGGCTGGTGCACTTCAGGAAAATGGGAGGAATAGGTGGAAACACATACACAGACTCAGTAAGCTTTCAACTATTAACTATAGGGTGTCCCCCAAAAGCATACACACACACTGAATAATTAGAAAGGCAGTGTTTATTAAAATACACTTCATTTTCAAAATTGAGCTATCAGTTGTTAAAGTGTATATATATATATTTTGGGGACACTCTGTATATATTAACCCTAATTATAGCATATCAATCCTAATATACAGCATATTTTCTGCAAAAATTATGAGTTAAATAAAATTTAATGGAGATAAGATACTTAAAATATAATTTACAATTTAAAATATCCTATCAATCATGAATACAGAAGAAAAAAGTGCCAGTAAAGAAAACAAAAACAATATAAATGAAATGAGAACAAAACTCCGCAACTTCGAGATAGTACATCCATTCCTCTTTCCCAGGTTGAAGCTCCCTGAAGCAAGTGATCAGGCTCCAGGGGGAAAAGTAATTTACTTTTCCAGAATGTTCCAGAATATTCTTATAAAATGTTCCAGACAGGCAGCCAAAGCTTGTAACTGGAACCCAAGTTCGGCTGTCTGCCACCACAAAAACCAAACTTGTGAGAGATGCTGATGAAAAAAGAAAGAGGTTTTATTCAAGTGCCGGTCACCTGAGGAGATGGGGGACTCTTGCCACAACGCCCAGCTCAACATCTCAGAGCAGGCAGGGGTTTTAACGAGGAGGGAGGGGGAAAGCAGAACAAAGAGACCAAGGGGTGAAAAGTTCTCTACGTGCAGGCCACATGGTCCATTCCAATAAGGACCTCGAAACTGGTCAAATGATGGTCTGTGTGTGTCACCCTGGTCTTTGTCATCCTGGTTCTATAGTTGAAGGTCAGCAAATCGTCCGGAACTGGGATGACTGAAGGTCGGAGTCTGTATCTGAAGTCAGTTCCTAGAATTCTTATACAAACACGCTTTTATAAGTTATAGATCAGGCAGAGTCAATATTTATAGAAACAAATAGAATGGTGGGTGGGTTAGGTGGGTTACGATACCCACTGTTAGAGGCTCAGTAAGAGGTATCTGAGTCTTGTATTCCACTGAGGTCTCCGGGAAATGGAGGCTTCGGGACTCTGGAGGTCGCTGCCTGAGGGCATCTGTTCTTCATTTACCTGAGTCCTTGGGCCTCATAGGTTTAGAAATAGGTGGTCTCCTTGTCTGTGGTGTTCAGCTGCAAGTATTCCAGAGAGCCTTTTTTGTAGCTGGCTACACGCATGGGTCTTCGGTTTCTTATCCCCGCAGTCTGTCTTTTCTGCAAAGAGTTGGCAATCATGTCTGAAAACTCAGCCTGCAAGCGCTGTTGATTCTCCCTGGGAAGTGAGTGGGGAGGGAAAATAGAACTTCTCAGCAACTCATACAGAATATTTCTTTGCTCCAGAACAATCCGCTCAGTTTACCCAGCACTTATCAAAGGCTTCTTCTGTGCTAGACACAGGAAGTCTGATAAACAGACTTGCCTCGGATGACCATACGGGACTGTTAGCCTGCTCTTGTGCAGTTGAATATATAGAAAAAGCAGAATATATTTCAAACTGAAAACTGTTATTTCAATTTCAAAGTGAAACACCATGCTGCTCGAACTTGGAAGCGCTGTTAGGTTCACCCATGCCACTGCAGGGAGGGGGCCAGAAGCCAGAACGATGCTGGGCCCCTGCAACCCAACCTTGAAAACGTGTTGGTCCCACACATTCCTAGGAGTGTCTGGGGAGGACTCGGAATGAATGGAGGGTTTCAGGAATTTGGAATGGACGTGGAGCAATCCTAGGAAGAGGCCAGGTCCCCTGGGCCCCAGGGAAGACCTGGGTGGTTTTGGCATCTATAGGCTTGCCATCTGTCTGGGTCCAACATCTAGGAGTCTGCAAGACGGGGTTTCTCTACCATAGCCAATGCCACAGCAACAGCCACGTGACTGACTGCAGCAACCACTGTGCAACTTGGTGACCATTTGAGTCAGCTTTAGGGGAACTGAGACTGTCAGACCTGGAACCTGTCTTCCTCATCTCAGGGAGGACATACATTCCCTGAAGACCCAGAACCACAGCCCCGGGGATGGGGTAGATCCCGTTTTCAACATGTGGCCTAGCAGAGAGCTGCAGACAGAGGTGGAGATGCAGAGTGCCCCTTCGCCTCCGGCGTGCTTTACTCTTATCAGCACCAGACACGCAGGAAGTGAGCTCTCAACCGTCCTCTGTTCTCCTGGGCATGCCTGGAATACCCAGCTTCTAGCAGCCAGAGAAGGGAGGTTTCTAAACTTCTCACACATGTAGTCCTCACATTTAATACATCATTGACACTGTCAAAGCACTTGCCAAAAATCAAGTCTGATTGATACGTTGGCTGTACGAAGCCCAACTTACAAAGCCAAGACCTCCACTCCCCTCCCCCGCCACAGCCAGCAGCTTACACAGTAGGAGGGGCTGGTAGGTTGTACTCTTGGTCCTTCATCCCAGTCAGCCAGTAGGTGGTCTCGGTTCCTTTTCCCTAGTGAGACGGGAGAGGTGAGAACCATGGAGGCCAATGAGACAGTTCAGTTCTAGCCCACTGTTCTGACAAGTGTCTGTTTCTAAGAAACATTTCCCCTCTGAGTTCCTCATCAGTGCCTATATTTCAGTGCAGCGTACCTTCCTGGTATGATCTGCCTTACATATGGACAGAGCTTATTTCCAAATGCCTCTTATTATTTTTATTTTGTTGTTGTTAATCCTCACCCGAGGATATTTTTTCCCTTGATTTCTAGAGAGAGAGAGAGAAACATTGATGTGAGAGAGACACATCGATTGGTTGCCTTCTGCACAAACCCTGGCTAAGGCCAGGATTGGAGCCTGCAACCAAGGTACATGCCCTTGATAGGAATCAAACCTTTGACCTTCAGTCCACGGGCTGACGCTCTAAACACTGAGCCAAACCAGCTAGGGCTCCAAGTGACCTTTTAGAAACAAGTCTCTTGCCCTTGCTGGTAGCTCAGTTGGTTAGAGCATTATTCTGATACGCCAAGGTTGTGGGTTCAAGACCCAGTCAGAGCACATACAAGAATCTACCAATGAATGTATAAATAAGTGGAACAACAAATTGATTTCTCTCTTTCTCTTTCTCTCTCTAAAATCAATAAAAACAAGTCTCTCAATCACCAGACATGTTTCCTTCAGAGTCCCCAAAGATTTTAAAATATCACTATGACAACATCACAAGAACTCTAAATTAAAAAGGAAGAAAATTCATCTAAAGTTCTGTTATGCCAACAAATCTGACTGGTTTTCATTATCCACATTTTCTTCTGGCTCATTTTGCCATGAAATTTGCCACAAACGTTTTGCCACAGTTTCCCCACCTAAAGTGTGTAAACTATAAACACATGTGCATCATAATAAATACTTACTGACATTTTTCTGGGCCCATCTGGAGGCTATAAAATGAATGGAAACTTACTGAAAATCCTGGTTTTGCTAGAGCTGGTATTTGAAAGTGGATGGATATATATAAATATATATATATATATATATATATTTAAAATCACTCATCTTTAAAAATAGCGGGTTTTTTAATGTTTTTGAATTGTAGTAATCCATAAACCGCTTCTATCTGGGGAGAAATGCTTGGTGTAGAAAATGTATTAATGTATTTCTGGAGGATTAAAAAGTGAGTGTGATGTTAGGACCCTAATACATAAAAGGAGGCTTAAGTTGCAACCACAGAGTAAAGGCTAGAAGCGCTATGGCTACTGGGGACAGATGATCTTACTGGCAATAGTTGGCTGCAGACCAATTGTGAAAAGATTGTAATGACCTTCAGAAAGCAGCCTGAGGGCCAAGTGGAGGCATTTGGTGGCTTTGGAGGCCAGCTTGCCATCTCTTGTCCAGAGCTTTGAATGATAAAGCAACTGGCTGGAGAGGTGGCCTTAGAGCTGCAGCATCTTGAAGTAAGAGCAAGGACAGCATCTTGAAGTAAGAGCAAGAACGCAAGGAGACAGGGACATTGACTGTAGTTAAATTACTCCTGGACGGGACCGTGGCTCTTGGGTATGGAGGAGGAATTGGGGGCAAAAGTTGGGTACCTGTGGAAGAAATGGTGGCAGCATTTTATGACATAGTGGTCATAGTTCAGAACATGAAAAGGGCTCGTTGAAGTAAAGAGAGGCTGAGTTCACATTCTTTGGCGGTGGCTTCTCCTACATGGGATAGTGGGTGCCCATCGTGGGGATGGTCAGTGATCATCACAGGGACAGAGGGGGATCCATGCAGGGAGTACAGAAAAGGATTCTTCATCGTATGTTTCCCAGTATTACTGACCATTGGGTGTCCAGTCTCAAAGGAAGTGGCCCCTGGGGGGGTGTGAGTGGCTTTTCTGGGTACTGTCTCTGTGGGTCCCTCACCTTTAAGTACGTTTCTCCTCTCACTTCATACAAGAACTGGCACTCGGTTCTCTTCAGGATGGCTATGGTGGAGCCACTCACATGGATTCTCAAGGCTGGAAAAGCAAAACAGATCAATGAAAATCTGGTCCATTTGAAATCTGTTATATGGCCACATTTGTTTTCCCTTGATTCCGGACATTCACTTTAGATGTTCTTGATGGCTCAGATATTTTAGTGAAAGAACAATTAAAAACACACCCAGTGCAATAAATATCACACGTGGGAACACAGAAGGTCTGGCACTGTTTTCCGGGTGCTGAGTGATGGAGCTCCGGGGTTGTGCTCCATGGATTCTCATTCCAGCTCAGAGTAATAGCCCCAGGACCTTGTTTTAGATTTAGCTTGTGGTGCTGAGCTTGAGAGCTGGCATGTGGGTCCCCACGTAAAAGTCCCAATAAGTAGCCAAAGTGTTGGTGACAAGGTAAAGATTCAGGAGACAGTTATAGGGTCTTGATTTTCTCAAATTTTACTCTTCTGGGATATTGCTATCTTCCTGACAACTAAGTGGTGAGGATTTACTTCCATCCCTCAGTCCATTGCTGTATATCACCTTTCCCATTACGGGTGCCACAGACAATAACAATAGTAAGAATAATAGCACCCCCATATTGTATGCCTACCATCTATCAGAGGATTGCTAAGTGATTAACATATATCCTCTCCAATCCTTCCAGCAAGGTTGGTATCCTATTCTCAAATTTTTGATGCCTAGGAAAATGAGGCAATTCCCCGACTACCTTAACACAGACAGTGATTTGCATAGTTATTATTTTAACACAGGTCTTATAAACCTATTCTTTCCTTTACATCATGATTTTCCAGTATAAACCAGTATCAGATTGTCAGTAAATTGCCAAAATACTGTTCTAACAACTATATTTTTGCAATGTCTGGCCACATCTACCAATGCTTTTATTCACTCTTGTATATATTTCTGTTACTATCACTGTCATCAATATTTATTTAGCATCTACTACATGCAATACACAGTGCCTCTACCTTGCTAGGCAAATGCAATATAGGTTTTTGCAGATAACAAATACATTTTTCTTTACTAAAACCAATTCCCAGGAAAACCAAATAAAAGAGAAATAGGAAAATGAACCAAGTTGTATACTCCATACCTAGCCTACTGATTTTTTTTTTTAACTTACATGGATCTCTGCTAAAGTTAATGACTATTCCAGGTAGAGCATGCCTGAATGCATTGCTAAATAAACCCAAACCAATAGAAGCGACCTAAAACTGAGCCAAAGGAAAGAATAATGATCAGTAAACAGTTGCAACAAAAGCAAATGTAGCAAGGCCTGGAATGACAGTCTTGTGGTCATTCAATGTGAAGAAGGGCCATTCATTCATCATCTCACTGGCACTTCTTGTGCACGTTATCCTACAATTCCCTCCTGCTGAAAGACAGAATCTTTGTCCTCTAAGAAACACAATCTCCCTTCTTACGGAGGCCAGTGGATTCCATCCTAGAGGCTGTGTTGACGGTGTCTCCAAATAGGCAATAACGAGGCATCTTGATCCCCACGACGCCCGCGGCACAGGGACCTGGAAAGGGCAGAAAGCAGGAAGTGGAGGAATGGAAATCACAGAGGAATGAAGGTGCCACCATGCTGAATACTCCACTTGATGGAGGCATGTCTGAGGGTGTGAATAATGACCTCGAATGAAGAATGTATTCAATGAGGGAAACATCATTATTCAACCAATGCATGCTTTCAGAAAGTATTTTGCTCTGGCATAGAAAAGTACATTTGCACAAAGCAAGAAGGCATCAGATCCAGGCTGAAAGGTGGGAAGTCATTCTGAATATTTTCAATAGAAGCTGTAGGATGAAGCCTATCCCAGTGTTTGCTCACTGTGCTGAGCCACACAGCCCTGAGCTCTGAACTGCCGGAGGTCCCAGTACACTTGAAGGCTCAATGGCCCAAGTTTGTCTTATTTTACTTTGATTTAGTAGGGTAGCATTTCTTGGATCAATGTCATGATGATGGAAGACCCAAAAGACAAGGATCTGGCAGAACTTTCCCTGAGCATTTCATGTGCCATGTGAATGCAGCGGATTGGGGGAGCACAAGAACATTCCAGCAAAAACAAAGCCGAGGAAGACTGTGCACTGTGTATACCAGGTGGGGAGGAAGGGTTGTTTATACAAGTATTTGTGAGGAATGACTGAATGCAAGGGGTTAAAGATTTTAGAGGTTAAAGATTAACTCAGAAACTACAAAAACAGGCGTTGGATAGAAGTAACTACTGGTCTTCTAGTTTGGCTGATTTCTAGTTGGGTTTTGATGTATGTAAGTTGAGTTTCTTTCTAGATTTATCCTATAAACGTTGTGTTTATGATTAAAAAAAAAATACAAAATACTGGACTCCCCCTGAGTGCTGAGCTTTTCCCTGTTAGGTTGGGTATAAAATAAACAAAAGATAAGCAAACAGAAAAAAACAAACAGACAGAAGAATAACTCCAGCAGGAAAGGTACAGCAGAGGCAGCTGCTAGATGAGATTTCTGATCTGGGCCTTAGGTCTTGTCACAAGTGGCTCTTCAGAAACGGAGTGATAACACCGAGGAGGGCCTGGACATGGGAAAATCCTTGCAGATATTAGTTAGTCTTGTTTTCAGCTATTAGTATTTAACTTTGACACTTCCATTTCTTAGGGTTAAACCCTAGGATCGTACCTAGATAGTAGGTATGCGTGCCTACTATCTATCCTTATTTCAGCCCAATAAGGTAGCGCTGGGGCCCTGGTAGTCCGCTCAGACCTTGAGGGAGAGAGAAGGGGCCAGGACCCAGAGCTCCAGTCTCTCTGACTTGGTTCGGTCAGACCTGCTGCTGTTCCTTCCTCTGCCGATTTGCAATGGCTCAAAACAGACAGAATGCTGTTGCTGGCTGAAGAGATGCCCAGCAAGTTCCCTCGTGTGTATATGGAAACATCTAAGACATTTGGCTGTGGACACATTCGGGGAAGGCTACAGCTGTGTTCCTGGGCAGTGAACACGTGGTAGCAGTTTTTAACGTCTATTGACTGTCACTTTGAGAATCTCACTGATTTCTTAATCAATCAGTATTTACTGCCAGGCTTTGAGACAGGTGCTGTGGATGCAGGATGACTTTTGTAAATGCAGTTGTCTGGTCCTGGCCACAAAGCCTGGAGCGATCTCTCCGGTTTTCTATACTGTGGCTCTTCTGCAAGGCTTGAAGGCAGAAAGAGGAGCAATGACAAGAAATTACAGGGAGATGTGAGTTAATTTAACACAGGAAAGACTGTCTTCTGATTACAAATATTTAATAATGGAGTGACGTGGCTTTGGATGCAGTGAGTTTTCAGGAAATCCTGGAATTGTTCTAAAAGTGGATATGAAATTACTAGTACTTATCTTGGAACCTGTAAAGATAATCTATGTCCTATGAAGGATTAATCTAGATAATTTCTGAGGTCCTTTCCAACTATGTTTTTCTAGAACAATTGTAACTCATCTTTTCAAATCTCTACATTCAAGGGTGAGTAACTTTCATGGTTTTTGAAGTGGCTCATGTGCTTTCTGTACCAATGAGAGGGGTGGGTGTAGGGGGCATAAATGCCCTTTTATTATAAGAATTTGACCAGCCATCCCCTCCCCACCCTCATAGATAGTCTAATCCATTTAAGATACCATAATATTTTAGTGGGGGAAAATACTGAAGTTGGAGGCAGGGGAGAGGGAGGGAATGGGAAGGAGATAAATGAAACACTAAATATAGTGACTTAACCAGGAAATCTGGAACTTGTTATTTTAGGATGTGGTGATGTTTATCATTCTAGGAGTCAAAGGTGTTTCCTAGAACTCTCTAGGGATGGGTCTAATTATGTCAGGATGTGTCATGGACCTCATTTTTGGCAGACAGATCCAAGAGTAAACCTCATGTGAACACTGATCACATTTGAAGACTCTACACTTTCTGATTTAGTGGGTGCACAGAGATACATATGGTTCCCATTTGCTACAATGCTCAACCCCATACCAGAGTGAACTCCAATGCGAATCCAGATCGGGAGGCCGGGAAGATGCTCCAGCTCGAAGGTCCCCATGAAGCTGAGAATATCCAAGGCCATCTTGGCAATGTCCACTGCGTGCCGATTGCCGTTTCTCTTAGGCAAGCCGCTAGCTACCATGTAGGCATCACCAATGGTTTCCACCTGTGAACACAGTTTCTGATCAGTGAAGCTGCCCCTTCAAAAGGCACAAGAAATTAAACATAAGCAGTTAATCACATGTCAAATACAAAAAAAAACCCTCAGTATGAGCCCTGTACACTTTTTCTGGGACCAGTTTAAGAGCACTTCTATGCTCATTTCTTTAGGGTTTCTATAGTCTAGTAAAATGGATGATAAAATAGCTGTAGATGTTTTTATGTAAGTACTTCACAATAATGTAAATCACCCAGAGGTGTTGACAATTTTACAAATGTTTAAATAATCTGAGTAGCTATATATTGTTTTAGAAAGACCTTTATTTACGAGAAAAGTCATTTTCAGCACTTTACCAATTTTCACATACTATTTGAAAAAAAAAATTGTAGTTTTTTCCAAGATAAAATACACATTCTTGTAGTATAGGGACTCTACACACTTTTCTTATAATAAGTAGTAGATTTATATTAACCGTACTGTATAAACATTATTCTTTGATAAATGTCCTCTCCTCCCTTTTAATTTTATTTTCACAATCACATGTATAGTTCACGTTTATTGGTTAGTTAACTTCTTTTTGTCATATATCTCTAAAATGCATAATCATTTTCTGTCTAACAAGGGCTATTGTTAATATGGCTTTCTAAGGATTGGGCTAAGACAAACCCTAAAAGGGGAGTCCTCTCTGTGAGTAATAACCTGTATGACAGAGTATTATAGTAATGAGTTCTAAGCTTTACTCAAGGACACAGTGTTCCAGGCATATTGTTTATCTAAATAATCTTTACAATAACCCATTGAGGTGGGTATTGTTATCATCCCATTTTACAGATAGGCAAACTGAGACCTGATGAAGTTAAATATATTTTAAGAGATCACATGGTTCGTAAGGGGCAAATTGGGATTTGAATGAAGAGAGCTATTTCTAAAGCTACTTGTTCCATATGGTATGCTGCTTTTCTAACATGAGAATGTGGGAATTCAATTCCCCTTTACTCTTCTGACTCAGACTTAATAGCCTAGAACTGGTCAGCATGCCAGTCAGGTAATAGATCCAGTTGTGAACTTGTAGAAAGTTCTCTCTCTTCTTCTGTGGTCTTTTTTTATTATTTATTTTATTTTTTTTATTGATTTTTTACAGAGAGGAAGGGAGAGAGATAGTTAGAAACATCGATGAGAGAGAAACATCGATCAGCTGCCTCCTGCACACCTCCTACTGGGGATGTGCCCGCAACCAAGGTACATGCCCTTGGCCGGAATCGAACCTGGGACCTTCCAGTCCGCAGGCCGAGGCTCTATCCACTGAGCTAAACCGGTCAGGGCATGTGTTTTTTTCTGAATGATGCTGCTATTTCAACAAGATATTCCTGTTCTACTTATTATAACTCTAGTGTCTTGCAATTAGCCTGAACACTATCCATTTTTTGAAGATGATTTAAGAGGATATAATTTTCTCTAAATTTAGTACCCAAAATTCATTCCTGCTGAACTTTATGTTGTTGTTTTTTTCAAACTACTTAAAGTCATATAGTCATTTTGACTTCTGGCCCTTCTTTTTTTTTTTTTCTTTTATTGTTTAAAGTATTACATGTCTTCTTTCCCCCCCAACTTTTAGCCCTTCTTATTCTTTTACTTCCCTTCATTTTGAGCTCAGATTCAACCACTGATGCATTAAATCATAATTTAGGAAGGACAAGACCTGAGAAGTAACAGGAACAACCAATTCTGGCTCTGCTGACCTGGGGCCTCAGGTTCGTCTCAGCCTGTTAGGTGAGGTGGTTACCTTGTACACGTCATGGTGATCGAGAATGTGGTCAAAGCTCTTATAGATGTCATTCAGCATGTCCACCACTTCCATGGGGGTGCTGTATTTGCAGATAGTGGTGAAACCTACGATGTCACTGAAGTAGATGGTAACTTCCTCATATAGTTCAGGCTCCACAATGCCTTTCTCCTTCAGGGACTTAACCACTAGCCTAGATGAAAGGAAAAAATTTGCCATCAACTTTAGTAAATTTTTTTTCTTCTCTTACATAAATATTTAAGACAGTAGTAACAGTCCACCAGGAATTTTAGAATATGGGATTGCCAGTAAACTGGGTGGCTAGGAAGCAAAGATAAGTTGCATATACCATATATTACATACATACACATATAATACATGCATTTGAACTCAGATGACTATAAGCAGGTTCAGCATTAACTTAGTACTTGACTGTTGAACCTAATACACATATACACATGCTACTACATAACATTCTTGCCCACTTTTTACCTCTCTACTCATAGTTTCTTCTAGACATAACTCTATATCCAGAAGCTGAGAGGGAGAGTGTGTCATTAATGTAAGGGCTTGAGTGACTATAGCTATCAGATCTTTCTCATCATCAGAATCAATGGTTTTACCTCCTTGACATATTTAACATGACATTGTTATCACTATGAAGGAATATGCACTTAAAAATGAACTTGTATGTAGTATGAACCAGAATTTATTTGATATATTCTGAACCAGATTTGGGTTCTTTAAAAAGCAAAGCCAATTACCATGTAAACAAGTTAAAATTATGCTAAAACTGAAGAAGTCAAGTAGGAGCAACTTAGAATATCTTTGTTGAAGAGATATAAAGAGCAGTTTATCAGACTCAGAATTAAGAGAGAAGAACTACAAGAAGGGGCTGCATATTCCCTTATGTGCCAGGTGACTTTTCATTTCCCCCAGCCCCATCATGAGCTGCATGCTCCCCATCCGCTCTTGGGGTCACTCTGTAAAGCAGCAGTTCTCAACCTGTGGGTCGCGACCCCTTTGGGGGTCAAACGACCTTTTCACAGGGCTTGCCTAAGACCACTGGAAAACATATATAATTGCATATTGTTTTTGTGATTAATCACTATGCTTTAATTATGTTCAATTTGTAACAATGAAAATACATCCTGCATATCAGATATTTACATTGCGATTCATAACAGTAGCTAAATTACAGTTATGAAGTAGCAACGAAAATAATTTTTGGTTGGGGGTCACCACAACATGAGGAACTGTATTAAAGGGTCACGGCATTAGGAAGGTTGAGAACCACTGCTGTAAAGGATCTGAGTATGGAACCACTAGAACCAGAACCTGGAAGCTGGGAGGTACCATAGAGGTCATTGAGAAGAAATCCCTTATGTTCACAGATGAGAAAGCTGAGGCTTACAAGTATGACTTTTACAAGGTCCCACGGCCACTGAGAGCAGAGCCAGTCTAGAACTCAGCAACACCTACCCCTTCAGGGCTTTTGTTGCTCAGCACCTCCCCAACCCCACCCCCCAAGGCCTGGGACTGTCGGGGAGCTGGGGGAGGTCTGGAGCATGCTGACTGTGGTAGGAGAAGAATGTCAAGCACTTTCCCAGAAAACAGCCCATCAAACACAGAAATTACTTGGAGAACCTCCGGAGCTTGGAAGGAAGAAGTTTTCCCGCTGGTGCAGTGAGGGAACTCAGGACCTTGGATAAACAGCCGTTCGGTGCGGCCATTTGGATGAGCAGGGGCACCTCTGGGCTGGTTGTTCTTGACGTGCCCAGTGTAAGGGTGCAGATTATTTTTGGAGGCCACCTTGATGTAATGATAAAATTGGATATTTCCCATCCTCACACTTCATTTTACTGATTATATCTGAAAAGTCCTATGAGCTTGGAAAATAGCGTGCGCGTGAGAGAAACTGGTATTCAGATAAATGATGGAAGAACTATAATCTCACACGGTGAGCTTTCATACACAGGTTGTTGCTGACACAGAATTAGTTGTACAGAGTAGATGTTTTTGAAGAACTTCTCAAAGAAGAAAAACCTTCTATTTTAATCTGTTTAAGAACCCCAAAGGGAAGGGTTCAAATAAGTGTTAAAGTAGTGATCTGGTTCCTACATGCAGTCTTAAGTTTATTAATAATTTTGCTGTAAATATTTCTGTTTTATTCTTCTAGTTACTGTTGGTTTTCTTTTACAAATACAAAGAGTTTTTACATAAATGACGGAAGTGAGTTGCACTGGAGTCATGGTGTGTTGCAGCTATTGAAGAGATTTGTGTTCTATAACCTTGGCAATCCAATAAAAACATTTACCATCTCGTGGTCAAAGTGGCACATTCAAGCAAAGGGAAGAAAAGAAAACCGAGGTGGTGAGCTAGTTGTCTGCAATCATTTGAGTGACGTTCTTGGTTAAAAACACACTGATGATGACACCCTGGAAAGGCAGCCAGGTAACCAGGGTCTTGTTTTTGTTACAGAGTTAAAGGCCAGGCAAAGAATGATGCATTATGTAACTAACATTCATGGAGCGCTGACAGAAGTTGCCTAACAGGGGTCCAGCTTATTCCCAGGGTGCCATTCCCAGGCTGTTCCTAGGCTCTGTGAGGGCATGTGGCTTCTATATTAGGCTCTCTTGAGGTCTGGATGACTGAACAGAGTATGTGTGTAACTTACTTCTTCACTTATGCTGTAGAAGAGAAACTATGTATTTAGAAAACATCCCGTACAATCTGAAAATCTTTTCTTTACTCATGTAGAACTGATATTTGAAATTATGTACGGGATCAAAATAAAATTATAACTAATAGAAGTTACATATAAAAGTCAGAGCGACTATGTGTAATAACAACAACCACGGATGTTCCAGGCACTGTGCTAAGTATCTTAAATCCTGCACCTTATTTCAGGGGATGCTTTGGAACAGCCTGTGAAGCACAAGGGAAACTGAGCTTAGAGCATTGAGGAAAGTGCCCAAGATCACACATCCACAGTAGGCGGTGGGAACATGATTTGAAGTCAATTTCCATGATTTTATCTAACTGCTAGATTCCCTACATTATCCTTAACCTAATAGGACATTTTATCCTATTTTCATGAGAGGAAAACATAGCTTCTTGCTGTAACAGTTGTACCCACAGTGGTCTTGTCCTACACCTATTTCCTAGCTCTTCACATTTTAATTTCTTGCTTATTAGCTGAGTACCAATACTTACAAAACTTTAAACTGTTTGGTGACCCCAACCTTACTTCCTTTCCCTTCTGTCACAGCTGTTGTATTATTTCATAAAATGGAGGCCGGCCTATACATGCCTAGGAGAGGAGATATCTGATGTGTGGCCTCACCTCCTCCACTAGAAACACTTATACTTCTTGTAATTTGGCTTCTACTTTGAGGTAGAAAGAAAGCAAAGAAACGAATACTTAGTGCCTGAAAGTGCCTTATAGCTCACAGATTCCATTGGAGACTTAAATGTTCATTTCACGGAGGAGAGACCGTGACTTGCTTAAGGTCCCAGACTTAGTAAGAGTGACACTCTTTCTAAGATGTTGGAATCCAGGTCATTCCAACTCCACAGTCAACGCTCCTTCTGTGGCACCACATGGCCACTTGAAAATAACCACTTTTTTTTTAAGTATTTAAAGTGCAAGGGAGCAGAACAAGGGTTAGCAAGATCCATGCATTTTAAAACGCAATCTCTTAAAGAATATGCACCCCTATGTTCATAGCTGTGTTATTTACTGTAGCTAAGATCTGGAAACAGCCCAAGTGCCCATCAGTAGATGAGTGGATAAAAAAAAAAGCTGTGGTACATTTACACAAAGGAATACTAAACAGCTCTAAAAAGGAAGGATCTCTTAACCTTTGCAACAGCATGGATGGACTTGAAGACTATGTTAAGCAAAATAAGCCGGTTAGAGAAAAATAACTATCACATGATCTCACTTATATGTGGAATCTAATGAACAAAATAAACTGATGAACAAAATAGGTCCAGAGGCATAGATACATGGCACAGAATGAGAGATCTCAGTGGGGAAGGGAGAAGTAGAAGAGGAAGAGATTAACCAAAGAACATATATGCATATAAGCATAGCCCAAGGACACAGATAATAGTGTGGGAAAGGCCTGGGGTGGAGCAGGGGCTGGTGGAGGGGGGCAAAAATGGGGAAAAGGGGGATATCTGTAAGATGTATATGAAACAAAAAAGGAATATGCAAAATGTAACAATCCTAAATAGATCAAGAAAAATGATGCTAGGAAAATATGCTGAAGCTTTCAGCTTTAAGTATGAGGCAGAGCTGTGTTGTGGGAAACCACATCAGCAGGACCACTGTCTTACCTTGGGAGCAACATAAAATTTAGTCTGTCAGCTCTGTCCCTCTCTGCCTTGTACAGCTGTGTTCTTTCCTCCACCAGATGTTCCAGATTTCGAGAGTAGAGCTGTAGACGTCGGATCAAGGTGTCCATATAACTTTCACTTTTCTGGTCATGAAAAAGGCTGTGGGTAGTAATATATAAAGAGCTCTTCCAGGTTGTTAAGAAAACATGAACATCCATTATAACTATGGGCAAATATGATGAACAGGTAATTAAACAAAGAAAAAATAAAAATGGCTGACACCTACCAAAAACATTTAACCTCAGGTAAAATGAAAGAAATATAGAAATAAGATTAACAAAAAGAAAGAAAGAAAGGAAGAAAGAAAGAAAGAAAGAAAGAAAAACAAATGTTATAACAATGGTAATCAATGTAGGTAAGAAGAAGGCATATATGCATACAACCTTCCTGGAGGGATAGCTGGTAAAATGTGTCATAGCTTTAAGAATACACATACCAATCAGTTCATTAATTCTGCTTCTAAGAATTATTTTAAGGAAACAATCATGAATGTGCTAAAAGTTAACTACAAAGCAAGTCACAGCATTTTTTATAATGGCAAACATTTGAAAATAACCTAAATGGGTAACATAAAAGTAGTTAAAATATTATGGTACAATGGAGTACTAATGTAGCATTAAATATGAACTAGAATAGTTAAGCACAAAAAGATACTACTTCTCTATTGCTCATGAAAAAGTTCATATAATAGCAAAAATTATACTCTCAGTTTTAATTTTTGAAAACTGGTGGCCATCTACTCACAAACAAATGATGTTTGTACTTTCTTGTTTGCTTATTCATTTTCCAAAATTTTAATAATAAATATTTTACAATAAAGGAAAAACTTTCTTTTAAAAAAAGCTCTAGAGGTGATAAATGAAAGTATATGAGGAGAACCAAGAAAAGCAAAGTTGAGCCTTACATGATCTCCTCAGAATGGAAAGCCAGGATCCTAAAGCAAAAAACCTAGCTCTGAATGATTTTGTTAGACCAAGGAGACTTGGATGAGGTGCCAGCTTTCTGTGACATGAGCCTATGACAAGCCTTGGTGCCGAGCTGGCTTAGAGGCGTGCTGAGCTCCTGCAGAACTGTTGTGGGGATCAGAGATGATGTTGGTAACACATATGGCACAATTGAAGGGGCTGAACAAATCATACCATTTTGTTATTACAACAACAGCGATTATAAATTATAATTTATACAGTCAAGGAGAAGATGGCCTACATCACCATCCCCTTGGGATGTGGAGGGATGATTGTTAAAAATTCAATCCATTCCTGAGTCCCATTGCAGACCTATAAGACTGGAAACTGCTAGGCTTGGGATTAAGAAACAGAATTTTTAAACAAGTTCCCCAGGGAATTTACTAGAAACACCTAGAGTCTAGTTGGTAGAAAGGGCAAGGGAGCAGGTGTAAAGGATGAAGAAGGATATCTTATTTCATGATGAATTGATTTAATTAAACATTTCCTCAACTTTGGCTGCATTTTAAAAAAAATTGGCTGCAAGTTTTAATCATCTAAGGAGCTATTAAAACTCCTGATGTCAGCCTGCTCCCCAGATCAATGACATCAGATTCTCTAGGGTAGACGATCAGGGGCCCAGTTTATTCCAAGAGTTTACATGTCATCTGTCACATGTACAAGCTCATCTGCTCTTAGTAACAGGTTTGTGAAGCGATGAAAAGTGGGCAAGAATTAAATCGCTTATTATTTCCGGCTCCTTTCCCCCAAACGACAGCTTAGATCTACCAAATCAATGACCTCACTTTGATTAACTTCACTCTACTTCTTCTCCAGCCTTGGGCTTTTAGCCTCGTTAAGTATCTGAATGACTTAATGAGAACTACAGAAAGTTAGAGCTGGAAGGAATTGTACAAATGATCTTGTTCAGTCCAATTTTACTAACAAGAAAATTGACACCCAATTAGGATAAGTGTTTTGCCCAATGTCCCACAGCAAGCTATTATTAGATCCTAGTGTAGAAACTGGGTCTCCTCTCTCACTCCAGTGCTATTTTTCTGTCTCTAACAGAAAACACGAGAAATCTAGAATTCAATCTTACTGGATAATTGTGTGTTACTTTTTTAAAAAAATCCTGAATTATAGTCTGATTCATGACTCAAGTCTTAAGGACGTAGGGCCAAAGTTGCTGATCCTAAGATTTATTTATTTTTTTTAAGATTTGAAAAATTTAAGAAACTTGGTGATCTTAAGAATTATCCAGGGACTTTACAGATTTCCAGGACCCATAACAGACTTCTAAATTCTAATTACCTGCAGAAGGGTCAGGGAACTATATTTTTAACAGACATACTTATGATTAGTCAGAATATAGTTTTTAATCAGGCAAGTTTTGCCCTTGAGTATTTAACTTGCCAAGTGATTATTTCCCAGAGAAAATGGTCTGGTAGTCTCCATGTCATTTTAATTTTTCTGAGGTAGGTGCTTCAGTCTGGGGTTTTTCATTAGAATAGGCATTCTCATTCTTAGGTGCCACTGAATGTCAACTATTGTTAGAATAATCCGAAATCGGTGAGTAAAAAAGCAAAAATGTCAGCAATACCCAAATATCTTGGCCAGTGTATTCTCAATTTTCTTGAAATCTGGTCTCTTTTCTGGATCTTCCTCCCAGCAGTTTTTTACAAGTAGATATACCTGGAAGGAAGAAGGGGTGGATTAGCTCAGGGGGTGGAATCCTATCCTATTTTCTTCCAGGATGGGAGTAATTGAGGCAACGACTATTTTAAAAACATCTCAACTCTGACAATGAGGATGAGGTCGCCCAGTTGTCTGCAGTGTATCTCAGGCATCACCATCGGTACCGCCTTGCCTAAGCCCTTCCCTTAGACACTGAATTAATGAAAAAGGTGATATTGATTTGGACAAGGCCAGATTGATGGGAGAGACAAAATCTTTACATGCATTTGCAGGGTGTGTGTTGGGAAGAACAAGAAACAGTTGGGTTCAGTGAGTATGTGACAGTGACTGTCAATGAGAGCGAGGCACTTCAAGCAGCATTTTTAACTGTGGCTAACAGTGGAATTGCCTGGGAGAGTTTACAAAATTTCTTTTTCCCAGGCCCCAACCTAGGAGATTCCGACTTAATTGGTTTATGAAGGAATCTTAGGGCTCTCGGATTTAGCAAACAAAAATATAGAATACCCAGTTAAACTCGAATTTCAGATAAACAATGAATAATTTCTTTAGCATAAGTATGTCCCAAGCATGGCCAAAGGACAATTACATATACATATATATATGTGTGTGTGTGTATATGTGTGTATATATATAATTATTTTCTTCTTTTTTTAAATATATTTTATTGATTTTTTACAGAGAGGAAGGGAGAGAGACAGAAAGTTAGAAACATCTATGAGAGAGAAACATCGACCAGCCGCCTCCTGCACATCTCCCACCGGGGATGTGCCCGCAACCCAGGCACATGCCCTTGACCAGAACCGAACCCGGGACCCTCCAGTCCGCAGGCCGACGCTCTATCCACTGAGCCAAACCGGCTTCGGCTATAATTATTTTCATTACATATTAATATAAAATGTTTATTATAGTATCAAATAATATAATTAGATTATAATTATAATGATATTATAAGATTATACTATAATTATAACTATATTGTAATAAATAATTGCACATAACGTCATAATTATAATGGAATTATTATGATACATAGTCTATATATTATTATTGCATATATAAAAGAGAAGTGAGGAAGGGGAGGTTCAGGGGAAGGTGGAGACATGAGGAAGCCCATGGAAACCTCATCTCACTATCAGTGGCTCGCAGTTTTTGTTGGATCGGAAAGCATGGTGCAAACCATTAGTTAGTTCTTTACTTTAGTCAGAAGTAGGATGACAAATGGTATCAGGTGCAGTCCCTGCCCATGCTCTTTGCCTCGGGGCATCCCCGGGAAGAGCTAGCTATATGCATGGCATAGCCTTGCCTGCCTGCATTCACCACCAGATGATGCCTTTGCCTTGGTACATGATCTGCCGACGGCCTTAAAGAGGCATGGACAAACCCAACCCACAGCCGGGCTGACGCAGCACCGCCCAGTGAAACGAGGGCACTGCCACATCATCTAATTTCAGGCCTGTATTCTATTGGAACCAGCTACTAGATATGAAATCTTTTCTTGCTTCCAATTCCAGAACCATCTGACTACACGAATGAATGGAGGAGGAAGAATGCTTTAGTGGAAAAGGTTTTAGGCAACATGTGGCTGTCCTCAGGCTAGAAAGAAGTGTTGAGAAGGGATATGCTGATGTGTGGGGAGGAATCCCAGCATCCTGAAAATCAGGGTTGGGGGGATAGAATGAGACCAGGATAGGAGCAGTTCTATTTTAGAACCTTGGGGATACAACCTGCCTTTAATATTGAAATAGAGAAAAGAAGAGTAAGAACGGCCCATACACACTCAGCTAGGCTGGCCATAAACCTCACCTGGAAGGATGCTTAGAAATTGAAGGAAAATGTTTCTATCTTTATCCCACAAGGGACAAACAAAAGGTTTTATTTTTAAGACCCTAAAAACTTTTAAAACACGTTATTTACTATCTTTGGGGATTATAAAAGCTCAGATAAAATCCTAAAATAAATTTAGAAACTTTCCCCACAGGCTTTAAAAGCCTTTGCGAGGGATTATTAAAATAAACAAATGCAGAGACAAAAGCTCAATTTCCTTCAGATGAAGAATAAAAGGAGAAAAAGTACCCTTCCCTATTGTTTCCAGATGTTGGCATACTTATTTTTCAATCCCTAGGTGGTATTTACAAGCCTGGCCAGTGTATCACATGGGCATCTTGCTTTGTGAGCTCCTAGGGACTGAGAATGGAACGTGTGCTTAAGGAACCAGCTCTTTCCTGAGTTCAGAGAAGTGGAAACATATAAGGTTAGGGTGGCAGGCTGATGATGGTTCCCGGACAAATGTCCGTGTTCTAACCCCTGGAACCTGTGGATGTGACCTTATTTGGAAAAAGGGTCTTTGCAGATGTGATTACCTTTGGAGTCTTGACTTGGGGAGATTATTCTGGATTATCTTGGTGGGCCCAAATGCAGTCACAGGTATCCTTATATAGGAGGCGGGTAGAGGGAAATTAGAAAAGGAGAGGAGAGAAGAATGTGACTACCACCAATCAGAGATTGGGGTGTTTGGGCCACAAGCCAAGGAATGTCAGCCAGCAGAAGCTTCTGGAAGTAGCAAGGAATGGACCCTCCCCTAGAGCCTTTAGAAGGAGCATGATCTTGCTGACAATTTATTTCAGACGTCTGGCCTCGAACAAATACATTTCTGTTGTTTTAATCCATGAAGTTGTGTGTGGTAATTTGTTACAGTGGCCCAGAGAAACTCACTTCCAGCTCCTTCTCCTCGGCAGTTTCCAGGAACAGATCTGGGCGGAAGGGCTTCACTCCATTGGAACTCTCCACTCTGAAAATCTTCTCTGATGGAACAAGAGTAATTCAATTACAAGAGAGAATGCAGCATGCGGAACGTGGAGCAGCGGTCAGATTCCGAACTGGCTCACCGACTCCGATGGGCCAGCGAGAGTGCTGCCGTGCCTCGGCCAGCAGTCGGCAGAGGGATGCCGAATGAGCCACCAGGTTAAGGGGTCTCATACCCACCTAAACCCAGGAGGCTATCTCTCAAATTAAGGCCACTCACCCTATGAAACTCAACCCAGACACCACTGCCTTCAGTGGGCTTCCTCTGACCAAGACTCTAGCCTGCAATCCTGACATCCCTAGTCACCCCTCCCCCCAGACAGTTAAGAGTTGGCACAAGTAAGTGCTCAGTAAGTGAATGGAATGAAATATTGAACCACACCCCCCCCCAAGGCCCCAAGGGGACATGTGACAAAACTATAGTCAGTGGTGGCGAGCCTTTTGAGCTCAGCGTGTCAGCATTTTGAAAAGCCCTAACTTAACTCTGGTGCCGTGTCACATATAGAAGTTTTTTGATATTTTCAACCATAGTAAGACAAAGATTTATATTTTTGATATTTATTTTATATATTTAAATGCCATTTAAAAAAGAAAAATCAACCAAAAAAATGAGTTCGCCTGTCACCTCTGACACGCGTGTCATAGGTTCGCCATCACTAGTATAGATCTTAGTAGGAACTAAAATATGTATGCCCCACTTCGGTGATCTAGTTCAGGTGTTAGACACATGGCTGTTAGAAATCAGAAGGAAAGAGGGAAATTATAAGGGGAGATTCTTTTTAAAAAAATACATTTTTATTGATTCCAGAGAAGAAGGAAGAGGGAGAGAGAGATAGGAACATCAATGATGAGAGAGAATCATTGCTCAGCTGCCTCCTGCACACCCCCTACTGGGGCAACCTGGGCATGTGCCCTGACCGGGAATTGAACCATGACCTTAACCAGAGCCACACCTGCTGGGCGAGGGAAGATTCTTTAACTAACAGTAACACTGATGGTAGTGACACTTGGCAGTGGTGTATTGTTTTACTCTCTTCAGAGCACTCAACATTCATTCATCTAATCCTTCCAAAACCCCTGTGAAATAGGTAGTGCAGATATGCCATTGCTTTTACAGCTGAGGGACAGAGATGCGGTCACACAGATCAGGGTCCCTGTCAGTCAAGAATGCAGGTTGGCCAGCTCCCAGTGGGGCAGATGAAAGGTTCAGACTCTTACCATTCTGGTCGCGGCAGCACTGCGTGTAGAAGGTTTCCCTCCGCATGATGATCTCCTGTGCGATGATCCCGTAGCTGTACACGTCCCCTTTCTGAGAGATGCTGGCTTGACGGAGGTGCTCTGGGGCTGTCCACAGGTCTGGGCATTCAGCATGGAGATTGCAAAGTTAAGGGGGCGAGCAGCCCATAGTCTCCCACCTGCTTCTGTTCTTTAAGTCCCTACACCATGCACCCTGAATATGAGTGGCCTTGAGTTTATATGGTCCCAGACTTTTGAGAAGTTTATGCTAATAATGGTGTTAAGGGTAGAACACACACCTTTTAATCTGACTATGTAATGCCAGGATTTGGGTGAGGTCATATGGCAATGTCTTCCCTAACACTGCTAGGATCATAGTCCTAAACACCCTCAAGGTCTACCTAGAATAGCACCTGGTGTACAGGAAGTGCTTGTAAAGGTTTGTAGGATGAGTGCACTAGAATGAGAGGCTAAGAGGGTTTAACAGCTTACGGGACATAAGGCATAAACCTAGGAAAGCCTTTGTAAATGTTTAAAAATAAAGACAGCACATTCAAACAAAGAGACTACGACTGATATTTTCCAGATGTGACACACTGGCAGCCTCCAAGTCAGCTATTGCCCAGCAATGTGTGTTCTTGGATTCCCACAGGTTCTTTAAAACATAATGCATACAATTTACCCCCATTTTACTACTGGGCCTGCCCCTCCTCAATGCTTCCCATCTGGTCCACTTCACAGTGAAGGGCTCCTGTGTTCCGTGTTTGGCTCCTGCAGACACTTGGGTTTTGGACTCTCATCACTTATCTCATTTGGTAATAACAGGGCATACAATTGTTCTCCGACGTCCCTTGAAGTTTTTCCAGAATCACCTAGCTCCTTGTAAGCTTTTTGAGATTTGTATGTTTGGCAGTTTTGATGGAAAAAAATCTATAGATTCATGCTGTCGGGTACAGTGTTAGGCTTAGGACAAGGCACATTTTCCTCATGTGGTTTTTCCATCCAAATACTCATTGCCTTTTTGAATTGATGTGACTTTATGTGTCTTGTTATTCATGTGGTTTGGGGTTGTAGGAAAGGTACGTACAGCTACTTATGCTAAAATTCAGGTGACCGACAGCACAGATAGGTCGGCGTAACCGAGTGCTGTTCAGGAGGATGAGATTTGACCTGTGATTTTCTGTCATGTTGGGCCATCTAATGAGGGAGAGTTGTTCCACTACATGATGAATCAAGCTTGGCACACAGTAGGTCTTCAACGAGCACTTACTGGGTTGAGTCCAATGTCTAGCATGCTTGATGTGACTGAAGAAATTAGGGGCAGAATTATAATTTTCTATTAAGGAAAAACTAAAGGATTGTAAAATAGAATTGAAGTGGAATTTATTGTTTGGACCTAGATGGTATTTTCAATCATATATGAGTGTTAGATGTCTGAGTCCATAACCCTGAGTTATAGTAAAGAATGGGTAAATGTTCAACACGAAAACTCTTCATACTTTACAAATCATTTTTCTTTATGTTACCTTTTTGACCCCTATCACAATCTTAAAAGAGATAAGAATATATTTTACTGATACGAGTTATTTTCCTTATCATTATCACAGATAAATAAATGATGTCTAGAATTTGGAAATGGGTCATCTGCCTTATACTCTATCTACTTGGGCAAACCTCTTCACCACTCTGAACCTTTATTCTGTTTTTTTGTTTGTTTGTTTTATAAAGAGAGAAGGTTAGACCAGAAGATTTCTAAGGTCTCTTACTACTCTAATCACCTCTATTTTTCACCCAGTTCTGCTTCCGCAAGCTAATAAGTTCCTCATGATTTCTCACTGATCAAGGGACATGGATGAAGGAAAACCACAGAGGAGATTTATTAAATTCAAGAAACACTTGTTGAAAACTGACAAGGGCAAACTGTTAGAGAATGAGCCCACTGTTGCCTTTTGTGGCTCCAAGTGTTAATTTTCTGATCAGTATCACTATTTCTTGAGAGAATTATGTGGGCTTGTGAGAAAAGAGAAAGACTAGTGGGAAACTGGTTAAAATTTCATTACAGACCTTTTCTTGGAGGTAAAATGGAATTGCAGCCAAAATCGGTGATCTTCACCACCATCCTACTGTCCACCACGCAGTTGGTGGATTTCAGACGCCCATGGACTTCTGTCTTATTGGAGTGCAGATATGACATCCCCTGCAATTTTTCAGATGACAAGAAAATAAAGAGATAAGACACTCTGCACCTGCTTATTTTAAAGAAAGAAATGACAGTTTGAACTCATTTCAGCATGCAGATAGAATCACACTAACAGATTTTAAACTTAGTTCCATTAATTTTACTTTAAAAATACTAAGGCCCTAATGTTTGCCTAAGCATTACATCTAGTTTTAAATCTATTTAAGTGACATATAAAAGGCAGTTGTCTAAAGACTTGGATTAATTAATTATCTCTCTATATAAAACCCTAAAATGCAAATAGACCGAACAGTGGAACAACTGAACAACCGGTCGCTATGACGTGCACTGACCACCAGGGGGCGCATGCAGAACATGGTGGGCATTGGCCGTGGCAGGATGGTTGAGCAGGTGAGCGGGGGCACCCGGCCAAGGTGGGGTACTGGTCACTGTCATTGGGGTTAGCCTGCTGGGCGCTTGCACCCATTCCTGACGCTGGCCCCACTCACACTGCTGCCAGCGCCAGAGCCGCCACTCACATCTGCTGCTGGTGCCCAGCGCCAGCCTTGATTGCTCAGCACTGTCAGCAAGTGCAAGCAGTGGCTGCTGGCCCCGATTGCCCCTCAGGGCTTTTCCACCTCCCTCTGCTCCTGAGGGGCGCTTAGGGCAGCAGCCGTTGCTTGCAGCCACTGCTGGCGCTGGCCCCAATCACTCTGCGCCATCAGCGGGTGTGAGTGGGGCCGGTGCTGTCAGTGCATGGGAGCGGCGGTAGTGGGAGCAGGGCTGCTGGCAGACAGGGGACTGGGGGCCATGGCGGGAGGGGCCAGGTGGGGGCGTGAAGAATGTGCTGAGACCCTACCCCTCTATGCCCACCACAGCCTCACAGCCCACAGTTCCTTTCAAGGTGCACGAATTTGTGCACTGGGCCCCTAGTATATAATATAAAATGAAAGGTTGATCCTATTTTCTTAAAGTGTGTTTACTTACCACTTATTTGGTCTGTGACCTTGGGTATGTCTGGTCTTCTACTACCTCAATTAAAAAATATGCATAATAAGGCTTTGCTATTCTGAAAGGAGGGGCTAGGCTAGATTAGTTTCTAAAATTTAATAGATTTCAATCTATTGTGAAAGGGGAAGCCTGTTTTTCGCTGGTGTGCTTCCCTCTGCTGGCTAGAGGTGTCGTTGCAGACACTGGGTTTCAGCCTAGATCACAGGAGTGACATGTGGCAAATGGGGTATCATATAGCATTTTGCAAACGTATTCTGACGCTATGTGGAGGGAGATTTAAGACTGTATCAAATAGCTCACTCTTGGGATTGGCTTTTCTTCATTCTTGAATGAGGCCTGGTTACTGGTACTCCCATGTTTGGGGATATACATGCCCACATTTTTTACCGCCTCATACACGATGGTTGCCTGTGCTTAATATTTTCTCTTATAAAGTTGAAGATTTAGTTGTCCTCTCTGCAGCTTTGTATTAGTTTAAGTTCCAGCCAGTCTATGAAAACATGTGCCTCAAACCCAGAGTAGAAAGCACATAATCATCATCAGAAGAAGACCCAGTATATATTGAACATTTACTTGTACCAGGCCTTATGCGAAGCATATGCATTATTTCATAAAATACTCCGAACAACCGTCTGACTATTAGTACTAAATAAGTACTATTTTTATTACCATCTTACAGATGAAAAAACCAATGCAGTGAAGTTGAATAGCTTGCTTGATCTATTTTCCTGTATTTAATTTTCTAGATGTCTTTTGTGTTTATAGTTCTCTTACCTTAGCAATGTCATACAAGACAGAGATCTTAAACTCCCAATCCATGAATGTACCATCAGGGTAGGAAATTGTGTCATTTAAAACTTCCTGAACAGGAGAAAAAGGAAAGGAAGAACATGAGTTGTCACAAGGAGGGAGAGTGTGGAGAGAGTATTGCAGGCAAATAATGATCTAATCATGAGGTCTTGGGCTCAGGAACACAGTGGAACTCTGTTGCCCTGGATTTCCGGAATGTATACAGGGTGGAGGGAAAGCAGGTTTACAGTTGTGAGCACATGAAACACAGAGTTTATTCTTGTATTATTATTTATTAACTATTGCATTATTTTCTGCTGGGGTCCAACCCCAGCGGGTCCAGGGGTCCCCAAAGGCGTAGACGGAGTCGGCAAAGAAGGAAGGACACGGAGACAGCATTCAGTTGATCAGCAGCCTAGCCAGGATCTCTAGCCAGGATCTCCAGCCAAGTTCTGGTCTGGATCTCCAGAGAGGTTCTGCTTCAGATCTCCAGCCAGGTTCTGTGTCCATGTTCTCTTGCTAGGTTCTCCAGCCAGGTTCTGTAGCCATGTTCCCTCACTAGGTTCTCCAGCCAGGTTCTGTCCAGGTTCTCCAGCCAGGTTCAGTCACCAGGTTCTAGTCAGGTTCTCTTGCCCATTTCTGTAGTCAGGTTCAGTCCAGGATCTTTTGCCATGTTCTCTCCAGCGAAGTTCTTCTGTCTCTAGTTCTGTGTAGGTTCTGTCCTCTTAGTTCTGTGTTCTAAGCTCTGTATTCTAAGTTCTGAGTCTTGCTGTCTTGTTACATCTGTATTTATACCAGTTGATTCAATCCTATCAATCTCTATTACAAAGGTTAGGGCGTTTCTTATCTCCATTCCAGGGAGTAAAGATTATGTAGCTTAAGCATGATTGTTCGTAGTTAAAGTGATTAATTACCCACCTGGCACTTAGTTGAGGGGTTTTATTCCCTCCCTAACTTCAGGGGAAAATCCCTACCTGGGGAAACAACCTTTCTCAGAGACCTTGGTTAAAACACATAGTGCCAAGAAGGTGAGCAAACATATTAAGAACAGTATGCCATATATGCCAGGTCCTTTGAAACAGCAAGGATGGACCGGCTCCCGGCAATTTTCCATACGAATAACTATAAACCTACTTTTGCTCCACCCAGTATTTCTTTTCTTCCCTACATAAGAACCATTTGGTGGCTTTCATGACAAGGACATGAGCAGGAAATACCCAGAGTATCCAAAATTCTGGTCTTCCACCTGATGGGGGTGAAGGAATGAGCCCATGAGCACACGCCTGCCTGGAGAGTGGGCTGGTGAGTCTGAATCACAAGTCGCTGGGCTGCAGGTCCTGTCTCATCAAAATTATATGAGTGTTTTCAAACAAGGAATTGCTGTTAGAAAATTCATTCACTAGGCTTATGTTTTTACTCACATGATCAATTGCATCCATTAATTTTATAGCTCTAAGTTGTTGTTGTTTTTTAATGTTTTTATTGCCCTAGCCTGTTTGGCTCAGCGGATAGAGCATCTGCCTACAAACCGAAGGGTCCCAGGTTCCATTCCAGTCAAGGGCATGTACCTTGGTTGCAGCCTCCTACCCAGCCCAGGTCTTGGTTGGGCACATGCAGGAGGCAACCAATCAATGTATTTCTCTTACATCGATGTTACTCTTTGTCTTTCCCTCTTTCTTCCACTCTCCCTAAAAATCTATAGAAAAATGTCCTCGGGTGAGGATTAACAACAACAAGTTTTTATTTATTTTAAAAAGAGGAAGGGAGAGTGAGAGAGATAGAAACATCAATGATGAGAGAGAATCACTGATGGATTGCCTCCTGCAAACCCCTACTGGGAATCAGGACTGCAACCCAGGCATGTGCCCTGACTGGGAATCGAACTGTGACCTCCTGGTTCATGGATCAACACCCAACCACTGAGCCACACCGGTCAGGCTAATTTTTTTTTTTTTTTTTTTTTTTTTTTTTAGTTTACTAAGTCCTCTGTCAATAAGACAGAGTTCCTGGATTTTGTGTGAACTGTATGACCTAGAATATTGAACTCAATATTTTAACATGGTGATGGTTCTAACAAGATGATGGTTCTAAGCGAGTAAAAATTCTTCATAGTAAAGCTCTAATAACCTAACAATAGTTTCTTGTTTTGGGAAAAAGCACAATTTGACCTTTAGTTTTAAGTCAGGCACTATACCAATAATTTCAAGTGAAGGGTCCAAAGTCATAATTCATTTCAGATAAGGCTGGCTGGGCTGTAGGTACCATGCCAAGTTAAGGAAGGGGAGTTATGCCCAGACACACTCTAAAGTAATTCTTTCCCTTAGCACCAGACATATTTTATATTTTATTTATGTTTATTATCTCTTCACCTCATGAACACATAGACTCTGTGATAATTTTTGTTCACTGCTGTTTCTGCAGCATCTCATTCAGTGTCTGGCTTGGAATAAATCTTTATTTAATAAATGTTTGTTGCTTGAATGAATCAATTGTTCCTACACAAGGTTAGCCGCAGTTATGGTATATTTAGAAGGCAGGAAGAAAATTGTCTTTACCCCATTTAGGTTGAAACGTTCTGATTTGTTTTCCCACAAAAGTAGGTTCTGATGGGATTTGCCATGGTTGGAGCCTGAAGGATGACACAGGGAGGGGACTGACATTTGCCTTTGCACAGCCTTTGCTTTGAGGCTCATGGTACAAAGGTGGTTTCCTGTAGAAATTTCTGTTGTTGTCTGAGCCCAGGAGGACTCAGCAATGTCAGAAGGGGGTCCAGGACCATTCAGATAACTGAAGTTTCCTGCCTGAGGGTAGAGAGCCCCCAAAACTATAGGTATGATACCCAAATGTTTGCTGGGCATTTTAGGGAGTAAAAGACTGTAAAACCCTTTGACCAGGCTTTGTGAACTGGTATTCTAAATTGCTGTCTCACTGAAATTAAATGAATCAGAGTATGGTATAGCCCTCATATAATTGTTATCATTAGAAATGTTTTATTTAAATTATAATTTTTTAATTTAAATGTTCATTTTCAGCATCATATGGTCTTTTTTTTTCTATGACCTTTTGATATGATGCATGAGAGTGATAGTTTTTGAATTCATAGAATTAACCATACCTGATTGTACTATGCTTCTTATATACAATTGGCTTAGAGTTACTAGTATTCTATTTATCATTTTTTAAATCAATATTCCTAAATATAAGTTAGCCTTTAATCATATTTTATTATCAACTTTATGCTAGCTTTGTTGAATGTTAAATGAATTTAGATATTTGTGTTTTTCATTAATTTTAGAACAGTATTTATATACACACAGAGAATTATTTATTGAAGTTTAGAATTAAGCCAAAGCTGGTATTTTTTTTTTTTGTAATAGAAATTAGAATTTCTTCTATTGGTATTAGCTTACTTAAGTTTTTACTTTTTGAGTCAAGCTTTCACGATTGTATTGCATCTAAAATTTTTCTCTTTTTTTGGATTTTATAATTTAATAGTCTTTGAAGTATTCTTTCACAATTGAAAGTGTCTTTTTAATAGCTTTATTTTCTATGCCCACATTTGTTTATTTTTATGCTTCTTTTAAGTCTTAATTAGAAATATGAGAGGCTTGTATACTTTATAGTTTAAAAAAGATAAACAACTCATAAATGCATTTAAAAACTCTACCTCTTTTGTAATGATTGAATTTTGAAAGTTTCTTTTCCTTAGGCCATAGTTATTCTTCTAAGTTTTATATTGACTATTTAGATTATTTTTTTAAAGATAGAATAACATTTAGGGCTATGAGTTTTTTCTTTGAGGATAGACCTGTGTTTATTTTGAAAACTACTAATCTTGTTTAGTTTAGTTTTGTTCTTTTATGAAAGTTTATTAAAAAATTAAAAATTTCTAAGGGGTTAAATTTCAAAATTATTTTTAAATGTTACTGCGTAATGAATATTTGGACCTCTTTAAAGGTCCTGCTGCTGCTGCCCCCAATCTTAGGATTCAGGCTTTGTTATAGGGGAGAATATTAAGGTTATAAAGAGACACTGGGTTTGAAAATAGTCCGAGGGCAGGGTGACCACACATTGTGGTTTGCTTGAGGTCAGTTGCAATTTATGTCTACAGCTCCAACAATTATGACAGTACCCCCTTTACTCGCAAAGTATCCTGGTAAATTCTATGGTCACCTCCCCAAAGGTTTTTAAAAGGCTGAAAGCCCTCAGAACACATCCCAGAAACTGCTCCAGGTGAGGTTCAAATATTTCAATGCTCTTTGAAACAACTGTCCTCGATTCCTTCCTTCTCCTACCTATTCCCCATTCAGTCCCATTTCTGCTGCACACCTGATTTTGTTTCTTGTAAATGACTGTTTCTTGTATATGCCTGCCCTTCTGAACAATGTAATGATTTGCTATTCCTACTTGATGCATGGTTGTTCCCAAGAAATCAACTTATTTCTGTCTTACTTTCTCTTTCTGCTTTGAACTTGCTCAGCCAGAGTACCTGACCCCACCTGGCAACACCTGGGCCATCCTCAATCCCTCACAAGGGAAAGGATGGTAGGAATTAATACAGTAGCAGAACCAGGACTTATGAATAGGTTCCCTAATTCTTGTCTGGTGCTAACATAACGGCCACCCATTTTTCTTTTCATACAAATCAAGTAAATATGCAAGGAAAATAAAATGAATTTAGAGGTAATTAGTCACTTTTCCAACTCTGTTCTCTCAAGTCTACACTCTTGAAAATATATAAATATGTGTATATGTATGTATATATATATTAAGACATTGACAAAATCTGAGTGATCCAGTTTAGTAACATATGAACCCACCAAGTTTTCCTGATACTTCTCCAATATTATTTCACTAGGTGAACATCTAAAACTTTATATCTATATCTATATATAATTTTTCTATATGGGTGACCAGTTAGGAGATCGGAAATTGTCCTTACCCGGAGGGATCCTCGCTCACAGTATTCGACCACCCCGAAGATCATGGTATCAAGCTTCACAGTTCCGTAGAATTTGGTTAGGTTGTAATAGTCAATCTGAAGCAACTAAGATAACATGTTTATTTACAAAGCAAGTCAGCCAGAAAGCAGCACCACAGTAAAAATTAGTACGCTAATAAAAGGTGTTTTAGATCTTTGGGAAGATGATTTGGAATGTCAGTACATTTCTTAGTACGCATTGCAATGCATCTTACCAACCAGTCTTTCTTTCCTCAGCAAGGGGACTCGAATACAGACCTTTGACTACTCTCAAATAATATCAGGACCATTTTGTAGACATGCTATTAGATTTCCAACATGTTTTACACCACCAAACATCACTCTCCAACATCAGTTGGTAGAATCTTCAACACGAATAGGTATAGTCACCCATTTCTCGGCCTGAGGGCTTCTCTGTCAGCATCCCCAATAATGCCTTGCTGCCCCAGGCCCTCAGTGCTCAGGGGAAATGCAGTGATACTATTTCTCACTTAAGGGTTTCAAGCAAGGGACACATACCTTGTTCAGTTCTATCTTCTGCTTCTCTGTGAAATTGCCATCGTTGTGCTTGAGATCCTTTAGAATCACTCTCTGCAAAAATCAATTGAATTAAGAAGATAAAGTTGTAGCATCACTATTTATACGCGTATTATAATATTTTGCTTGTGTGTCTATCTTCCTACTATACTGTAAGCTTTTGAGATTAGCGACAGTATTTTGTTGATGTTTATGTCCCTTGGATACGAGAGGCTCAGGTTTGAATGTTTCTTTAAGAATGACTAAATGGCTGAAACCGGTTTGGCTCAGTGGATAGAGCGTCGGCCTGCGGACTGAAGGGTCCCAGGTTCGATTCCGGTCAAGGGCATGTGCCTGGGTTGCAGGCATATCCCCAGTGGGAGATGTGCAGGAGGCAGCTGATCGATGTTTCTCTCTCATCGATGTTTCTAACTCTCTATCTCTCTCCCTTCCTCTCTGTAAAAAATCAATAAAATATATTTAAAAAAAAAAAAAAAAGAATGACTAAATGAGAAGGAAGAAAAAAAGGTTGGAAGGAAGGAATGAATATACGAGGAGAGAAGGAAGAAAGGAAGGAAGGAAGGGAGGGAGGGAGGGAGGGAGGAAGGAAGGAAGGAAACTCCATGTGGAATTGTCATATTCTTACTGAATGAGGCAAAATATAATATTAGGGCTGCCTGGACTGCTCTGACTCTCTTTTATTTTTCCCTTCGCTTCCTGAATTCCACCTATCTTAAAAAATTGTATGCATTCTTTAATCTTCCCCAGACTGTGAGTCTGTAACCCTTGAAGCAGAGCCCTGCCCATCCCTGTGAAAGGCGCCTAGAACAGCCCCTGGAGCAGCCCTGCACCCGCCCGCACCTCTGCGCAGCCAGCATCTGAAGGGGGCAGTGCTGAGTCAGCAGGCCCAGAACACACCCCTCACCGAGAGTTCAGAGAAGCAGGGGAGACGATAGTCACCTTTTTGTCGTATTTGCACTGTCGCAGTCTCTGAATTGTATCTCGTCTCTTGTCATCATCGATCTGGCACAAGAAAAGGCTAATTATTCCAGAAGCTTCCTGTCTTGTCCCATCCACTGCCAGTCAAAGGCCAAGAGGCTCTGCCAGGTGAGCGGGCTCTACTCGCTCACAGCCTGCTGGGCAGACTCCCAGGAAAACGATTACAGCTGACTTGTGTTTCTCTCTCACAACTCGCCTTTCCTCTGCAACAAGATGCTAAACTCTGGGTTTCCCTCCCTTCCTCTTAGAGTTGCGCTGTCCCTCCCTCCTTCTTGCGTTCTACTTCAGCCAGGGTTTTCTTGCTTCCAGCTCCCCCTGCCCCCTCCTCGTGGGAATCGTTGCCTGTAGCTACAGACAGTTGCTCGTAGGGGAACATGTTGTACATTGGAGTTGCAAACTCATGTCTAAAAGCCCAAGTGGCAATGCAGCGAGGACGCCGGGCCGGTGCCTGAGGGGGGCAGCCCCACCAGCTCTGGGTGCAGCCGAGAGAGTTGCTGGATCATCTGAATTGTCAGAAGAAGCTGGTAATCTGAATTTTTCTAGCCAGTCCAAGATTCTTATATTTGGCAATTACTTTTAAAAGATGATAAATATTGACTAACACACACACACACACACACTATTGACTAACACACACACACACACACACACACACACACACACCTGCAGGCCAGACATGGCCCTTGGTCCGCCAGACTTCAAAGACAGAAGAAAGGTTGAGAACTATTGCATCTTTCAAGTTGATTCTCATAAAAACCTGTGATCTGTTGTAATATTGGTTAAAATTGACCTCTTAGGGGCATTTTAAACGGTGATTGAAATAACATCAAAGTCTTAGATTCTGAAAGAAATGATCCCTGCTTGGCTCATTTCCCACCATCTACCGGTGCCACCTGGCAAGCTGCACCAACTCTAGACAGGCTTCTTCAAAAGGTGAGGTGCGCCTTACCTTCAGGCTCACATGGTTGGTCTCATTGGTCTCCAGAGGAATGATCTTTTCACAGGGAATGTGGGACCATTTTTTCTGACGACGTTCATGCGCTTTTTTGTATTTTCTGTGTTAGGAACAGAACCAGTCAATAGTTTCTTATTAGTATTGATGCTGTTCAGCTTCTGAACACTGGGAGAAATTTCAAACCCTGGCATTCTAAGGTAGATATGTGGTGAGTGAGGCCAGCCCAATTACAACTCCCCAATCTGGCCAGTGCTGGCCATGAGCGAACTTGTAAGGATTTCCGATGGCCTTTTATATTATTCCCCCCCCTTTTTGTTTCACTTTCTTAGGTCCTTCACTAATACAGCCCTTCACTATAATAAAGAATCTGAACTGATGGCATAAAAAAAGCAGGGAAGAAAGAGGAAAGAAAAAATTTTAAATTGATAACCTTGAAAGGCAAAAACATTAAGTTTTAAATCACCAGAGAATACACCAGATTCCTAAGTAAGCCAGTTCCTCTTGTGGATCTGTGCCTTTGAAAACATATGTAGAAAGAAAATACAAAAGCACAGAGAATTTGTAATAATATGCATCCCAACATTCAAAATGTCAAAGTTTTGTCATTGTTTTCCCAGAGAGTGTGGATAAATTAGAATTATTGACCTTACACCTGTCTAGAGACATCTTTGTGAACATACATCATCAGCAATAGCCATTAAACCTCTCCCTCCCTCCCTCCTTCCCTCCCTCCCTCCCTCCCTCCCTCCCTCCCTCCCTCCCTCCCTCCCTCTCTCCCTCCTCCCTCTCAGAATGAGCAGCACAGCCGGAGAGGGTGTGGGTACCTCAGCACCAGGAGCGCGGCCAGCAGGACCAAGACCACAGTGCCGGTGAGAGTGAAGACAGCGATCATCAGGATTTGAGGTCCTGTCACAGGAAAGAGTGCAAAACGAGTTAGTAAGGATCTCTGAACAGAGAATAAAAGCAGTTCAAAGAGTCTAGTTGTATGACGTAATTGAGGAAGGGGAAAGGGAGAGCCTTTTAAAAAATATTTATCCTTTATTCATCTCTTCATTGATAATGTAGGTCCTGTGTCCTTGGTCTCTGAAGAAAACTGTCTAGAATGTGCCCTAAGGAAGTGGGTTAATTTCAGCTATTCTTACAGTCTACACCTCTCACGTCTTTCTTTATGTGAGTCGCCAAATAAGACATAAAATAGCTTCCAGCACACAAATAATTTTGGTGGTAGAAGTCTCCCTGGTGTTCTTGAAACAATAGACCTAAGGGGAATTCAAAGTGGGAGGCAGAGACAAGTATTTTTTTTTTTTTTAATACAGAGCACAAATCAAAAGAAAGGTAAGCCAGTGCTGGAATATTAAGCTACAGTGCTGCTGGTGCTCCTTTCCAAGCTCTACTAGCCAACGGGCGGAAGTCAATGAAGAACGTAAGTGATTATATTTATGAGAACACTAGTATGTGGGTGGAGTTCTGTAGATGGGGTAATGTGGGAGACTCACAGAAGAGTAAGTGGAACCCTGGACAATGTGGATCCAACACAAAGAAACAGTGAAGCAGAATCTGAGTTTGCAGAGGACTAGCTAGATGGAGAAGGACAATCTACACTAATAAAAGAGAAAAATGGTAATTGGCGTACGGCACTACCCTTTTCATTGGCTAATCAGGGCTATATGCAAATTAACTGCCAAATAAGATGTCAGTTAACTGCCAACAAAGATGGCAGCTAATTTGCATATGTAGGCACAATGCAGGGAGGCGAAAGGGAAAGCAGGAAGAAGTCCCCTGCCACTGACAGTGATCGGAAACCCAGGGGGGAGCTAAGAGGTGGGGGGGGCTGCCCTCCAGCCATGATCGGAGAATCAGGCGCCTTTGCCACCCTGGCCAGTGATAGCAGGAAGTAGGGGTGGAGCCAGCGATGGGAGCTGGGCATGATCGAAGCTGGCAGTCCCGGGAGCTAGGGGTCCCTTGCCTGGGCCTAAAGCGGAGCCCACGATCGCGGGGCTGCTGCAGCTGCGGGTCCCTGCTGCCCGAGCCGGACGCCTCAGCCAGAGGCGTCCTGCAGGGGCAGGGGCAGAGCCCGCGCGATCGCGGCGCCCCCTGCTGCCACTGCGGGTCCCCGCTGCCCGGGCCGGACGCCTAAGCCAGAGGCATTAGGCCTGGGCAAGGGCAGGGCGGGAGATCGCGGGGAGCTGGGAGTCCCCTGCCCAGGCCTGACACCTCTGCCGGAGGCCTCAGGCCTGGTCAAGGGGCCAATCCGGTGATTGGTGATCGGAGGGTGATGAGGGTCAACTCCTCTGGCTGAGGCATCAGGCCTGGGCGGGGGTCAGAGCCAGTGATCAGGGGGAGATGGGGGTCCCCTGTCCAAGCCTGACACCTCTGGCAGAGGCGTCAGGCCTGGGCAAGGGGCCAATCAGGCGATTGGAGGGTGATGGGGGTCTACGCCTCTGGCCGAGGCATCAGGCCTGGGCAAGGGGCAGAGCCAGCAATCGGAGGGGTCTGGGGGTCCCCTGCCCAGGCCTGACACCTGGGCCAGAGGCATCAGGCCTGGGCTGGGGCAGAACCAGTGATGGGGGGAAATGAGGGTCCCCTGCCCAGGCCTGACACCACTGTCAGAGGCGTCAGGCCTGGGCAAGGGGCCGATCCTGCGATCAGAGGGTGATGGGGGTCAACGCCTGAGGGCTCCCAGTATGTGAGAGGGGGCAGGCTGGGCTGAGGGACACTCCCCCCCACACACACACACCCAGTGCACGAATTTCGTGCACCGGGCCCCTAGTAACAATTATAAACTACAAGAAACTCATGGTTCATTTAAGTCACAGTGGGTCTCTATGAGACTAAGAAGCTAGTGGGTTGAAGAAGGAAAAAAATGGAATGGATTCCAAGCAATAGATGGGAATGTGTAAGAAGTTGGAAGATAATAGCAATATGGTGAAGGAGACATGTTTCTTCTTACAGCAAAAATAAGAGACCCAGAAATTCTAGGGGAAAATGTTCAAATAAGACATAGTTTAAAAATGAAACAAAGTAAAATTTGGCCAGATTTTGAGAATTTGCAATTAAAAAAAGTTATTATTATTATTTTTAGTAGGTGTGGCACAAAGGAGAGACATTGGAGCTATATAGAAAAAAATATCATGGCATGCTATTTGACTTCATGTGAATAATAATAATAATAATAATAATAATGTTTTCAACTTACAGAATATCAACTTAAAGGTAAATGACAGAGGGCTTCATTGTGGTTACCAAATAAATATTATCACCCCCGACAGATTAAAGAAAAATACAGGAGAATTTGGGAGCAGAGAAAGAGATAGAAGAAAAAATAGACACTAACATCTTCATCTTACAAAGTTGGGAAGCATGAAGTTTTATAGATAGTTAGTAGAACAATACTAGAAGCTCATGCATATTACAATGACAATGACAATGACAATGACAATTACAAAGATACCCAATAAATATATTGACAAAAAATTTCTACTAAGGGGAAACTTTTTAAAAAAGATTTTTAAATTGATTTTTAGAGAGAGAGGGGAAGGAGAGATAGAGGTAAGGGGAGAGAGAAAGAGAGAGATAGGTGAGAACAAAACATTGATCAGATGCCTCCTGCATGCTTCCTACTAGGAATTCAGCCTGCAACCTGAGCATATGTCCTGACATGGAAGAATCAGCAACTTTTTGTTGCACAGGCTGATGCTCAACCAACTGATCCAGTCCAGCCAGAGCTAAAGGGAAACTTTTAACAGTGAAAATGTGAGCTCTGAATTTCTACTAGTATTCTCCCCAGGGCAGAAATAAATTAATAAATTGGAGTTGAAGTTGCATTGTGGGCACATCTGACTTTGGTGAATTCTGTTTATTACTATAATCACCATTTCCATCACCACTACCACCATTGTGGCAGCCATCATTCTCATACCCCTAGCCAGAAAACAAAAGCAAGTATGAGATGTATGCCTGAAACTAATATAATATTGTATGTCAACTGTAATTGAAAATAAAATATTTAAAAATACCATCATACCCATCGGCCCGAACCAATATGCTCAATTAATATTTGACAAAGGAGGCAAGAACATACAATGGAGCCAAGATAGTCTCTTCAATAAATGGTGTTGGGAAAATTGGACAGATATATGCAATAAAATGAAACTAGACCACCAACTTACACCATACACAAAAATAAACTCAAAATGGATAAAGGACTTAAATGTACGACAGGAAACCATAAAAATTCTAGAAGAATACAAAGGCAACAAAATCTCAGACATATGCCGAAGCAATTTCTTCACTGATACAGCTCCTAGGGCACTTGAAACTAAAGAGAAAATGAACAAATGGGACTACATCAAAATAAAAAGCTTCTGCACAGCAAAAGAAACCATCAACAAAACAACGAGAAAACCCACTGTGTGGGAAAACATATTTGCCAATGTCATATCCGATAAGGGCCTAATCTCCAAAATTTATAGGGAACTCATACAACTTAACAAAAGGAAGATAAACAATCCAATCAAAAAATGGGCAAAGGACCTAAATAGACACCTTTCAAAAGAGGACATTCAGAAAGCCAAGAGACATATGAAAACATGCTCAAAGTCACTAATCATCCGAGAGATGCAAATCAAAACAACAATGAGGTACCATCTCACACCTGTCAGACTGGCTATCATCAACAAATCAACAAACGACAAGTGCTGGAGAGGATGTGGAGAAAAAGGAACACTTGTGCACTGCTGGTGGGAATGCAGACTGGTGCAGCCACTATGGAAGACAGTATGGAGTTTCCTTAAAAAACTGAAAATGGAACTCCCATTTGACCCTGTGATCCCACTTCTAGGAATATATCCCAAGAAACCAGAAACACCAATCAGAAAGGATATATGCACCCCTATGTTCATAGCAGCACAATTCACCATAGCTAAGATCTGGAAACAGCCTAAGTGCCCATCAGTAGATGAATGGATTAGAAAACTGTGGTACATCTACACGATGGAATACTATGCTGCTCTAAGAAGGAAGGAACTCTTACCATTTGCAACGTCATGGATGGAACTGGAGAGCATTATGCTAAGTGAAATAAGCCAGTCAATGAAGGAAAAATACCACATGATCTCACTCATTCATGGATAATAGAGACCATTATAAACTTTTGAACAATAATAGATACAGAGGCAGAGCTGCCTCAAACAGATTGTCAAACTGCAGCAGGAAGGCCGGGGAGGGTTGCGGGGCAGAAGGTAGGGGGGTAAGAGATCAACTAAAGGACTTGTATGCATGCATATAAGCATAACCAGTGGACATAAGACATTGGGGGATAGGGGAGGCTAGGGGACTGTCTAGGGCGGGGGGATAAAATGGACACATATGTAATACCCTTTGTAATACTTTAAGCAATAAAAAAAAAAAAAAAAAAGAGAGAGATAGAAATGTACACATGAAAAAATGTGCTGAGATAAGCAGAATAAAAATGCATGTACATAGCATATAATCGGAACATTATTTGTATAATAAAAATTCGTAAGAAAGAGAAAAAAAAAATACCATCATACCCTATTACAGATTAAGATTTGGTTATCCTATCTAATAAAGATGGAATATGCAAATTGACTGTCACTTTGTGACAAAGATGGCAGCGCCCACAGCCAATAAGGAAGGAATAAGCAAATTGACATGACAAAGATGGTGGCGGCTGAGCAGGGATACTTGCGTTGTCATCATGGCGATGACGCAGGCATTCCGCCCCGCCCTGGCTGCTCCGGGCCTCTGGGCAGCGTGCTCATGGAAGCATGGAGTGGCCGGGGTGGGGCAGGATGCTTGCTCTGGGGGGGGGGGGGGGGAAGGGGATGGAGGGAGCTACAGGAGGGTGGCAGGGCCGGAGTGAAGGTGGAAGGTGGCTCCAGCCCAGAATGAAGGCAGAAGGCAGTGGCCAGAGCGAAGGCCCAGGTCCCGGGTGCTGAAGGGAAGCCGGTGCTGGCAGCCAGGGGAAGGAAGGCCTATTCTTGTACGAATCTTCATGCATTGGGCCTCTAGTTTTAAAATAAATTCCCATGCTTATGTTATTTTCAAAAAGTGAGTATGAGAAATACAATTTCAACAGGGCAGGTGATTCTACTCATCACTCTTTTAAAATTACACATCCCCTAGAGCAGTGGTTCTCAACCTTCTGGTCCTTTAAGTAGAGTTCCTCATGTTGTGACCCAACCATAAAATTATTTTCGTTGCTACTTCATAACTGTAATGTTGCTACTGTTATGAATCATAATGTAAATATCTGATATGCAGGATGGTCTTAAGCAACCCGTGTGAAAGGGTCGTTCAACCACCAAAGGGGTCGCGACCCACAGGTTGAGGACCGCTGCCCTAGAGCATAGGTTGGAAGGCACATGGGGACTCCCATGTGCTGGGCCTTCAACCCATCTCAATTCCTATCTGTTTCTCACAGTGTGATCATCTCATGGCACTAAATATAAGATGTACATTAAATACAAATTAAAATGATACTTTAAATTTTATGTAAAACTGACAACTGGCAAGCTGAAATATATTCTTACTCCATTTTAAAATTTGTTTAAAAATTTATATTTCAATTTCAGTTGACACACAATATTATATTAATTTCAGGTGTATAACACAGTGATTAGACCTTTATATAATTTAGGAAGTTATCACCTGGATAAGTCTAGTACCCATCTGACAACATACATAATTATTACAATATTATTGCCTATATTCCCCATTCTGTACTTAACATCCCCATGACTATTTTTATAATTGGCAATTTGTAATTTTTAATTCAACATACTTTGTAGTTTTGCTTGTTTGATAAGTCACAGAATCACATTAGCTCTAAGTTTAAGCTTCTGCTGCCTTCTGGTGGCTGCTAAGGTTATCACATTTTATTTAAATGGATCACAATGATAACTTTTATTGTTTTATTTTTTCTAGTCTGAGATGATTTTTCTGTCCAAATAAATACTTCAAATACATAGAATGCAAAATTCAATGGATATTTCCAGTTTTTTAAATGAGCTTACAAAAATGACTGTAATCAAATCTACTTAAAATTTTATTCTCTTGATTTTCTCATTTGCAAAGTGTGTATTAGAATAATAGTGCCTTCTTTTCAGTATTTGTATGAGAATCAAACAAAGTAGAGTTGTTCCAGGGGACAGAGGAAAAAGAAGAGGGCAAAGGGAGGATAAATGGTGGAGGAAAGAGACTATATTTGAGCAATGGGTGCACAATGCAGTATGCACCATTGTTGAGTTGTACACTTGAAACCTGTATGGTTTGTTAACCAGTGTACTCTAATAAACTCAATTTAAAACTTCAAAAAAATGGGTCACAATGTAGATTGAGTTTATAACCCCAAGGTCATAGGACATGATAATTGGAAAGAACTTTGGGATTTGTTAAACCTCCTGATTTAACAGAGGAAGGTATTTATACTTAGAGAAGCAAACTGATTAAAATTAACATTGTATAGATTATACTGGCTAGAAACATATTTATAGTTTTCTCCTTCGTTCCTTCCTTCCTTCGTTCCTTCCTTCCTTCGTTCCTTCCTTCCTTCCTTCCTTCCTTCCTTCCTTCCTTCCTTCCTTCCTTCCTTCCTTCCTTCCTTTCCAAGGCATTGTGTTGAGGCAAAGAGATATAAAGAATAGACCCTACACATATAGTGTATGGAATAAAAATATGTGTAAACAAGTAAGTGTGATACAAGTATTGTGCTAGAAGCCTGGTAGGATCAAGGGCAAGATCAATACCCTCCTGAGATGCTACGAACAAGCTTAGGAAAAGTGGAGTTCAAGTTACATATTAAGGATGAGTGGTTGTTTTCCAATCATATTGGGTAGTGATAACTTTTGGTCAGAGGGAGAAGCATCGATAAGGACACAGGGGCATGAAGTTGCAAAAACCTTTCTTAAGGAAGTAGGAGGAAGTTGAGAGAGTGGGGAAGGGATTCAGGTAAAATGAAACATAAGGCTGAAGAGTAGGAAGGGCATGGAAATTTTGTGCAATAATAAGTCATTTGGACTTTATTTGATAGGTAAAGTGGAGCTGCTAATTGCAGTATTAGCAACCGGGCAGCAATGTGACTGGATTCATGCTGTCTGGTGGTGGTGCTGGTTGGATGGAAGAGGCAGGAGGCAGGACTGAAGCAGGAAGTCTGGGAAAGCTATTATATCCCAGGAGGCAGGTGATGAAGGCTTGGAGGAGAACAGGAACCTACTCTGTGTTGTCCATTGCTGTGTCCCAGGTGCTTAGGACATTGCCTGACACTAAGTAAATCTTTATTGAATGAATGAAAAGACAGTGATACTTGTAATATCCAGAAGAAATGTTTTTATTATTATTATTTCTTTGTAAAGATATCCTCACTTGAGATATCACTTGAGAATATCTTTCCATTGATTTTTTAGAGAGAGTGGAAGAGAAAGAGAAAGACCGAGAGAAACATTTATAAACCTGGAAAATATTTCATTTATTCAGACAATAAATAAAACAAACAAAACAAAAAACACAGGCTAGTTGCATAAAAGAAAACACACACACAATTTTAAGAAAAGAAAATTCACTAAGGATACCTTACCCCGGTCTGGAGTATCATTAGGAAGCTTCCGGTTCTTCCAGATGAATGCGGGGCTGTCATTCACTGGGTTAGTGACATTTGTGTGGGTGTCATAGGTCAAAAGTACATTGTACTGTGTCAGGACATGAAAAAGAAGAAGGATGAACAGAAAAAGAGATTTTAGAACAAGTTCTGATGAAATTGACCATCCTGTCCAAGGACATCTGAATTTCATAGTAGAATTCTCAGTGAAACAAGATAATGTTAACCAGCCATGGGGAAGCTTGGTAGGATTCATTATTGCTTCACAGCACAAATGTGGATTTAAGCTCCATGTGGGCCAATTAGTTTTATGACCATAATCTATGTCTACCCAACATAGGTTCTTTGGTTTTTAGAGAACTAGCTTGAGCCTTTCATTTTACAAATGTTAAAATAGAGGCTAAGACCAACAGACATATGAAAAGATGCTCAATGTCACTAATCATCAGAGAAATGCAAATTAAAACAAGAATGATATATCACCTCACACCTGATAGAATGGCTGTCATCAATAAATCAGCAAACAACAAGTGTTGGCAAGAATGTGGAGAAAGGGAACCCTCATGCACTGTTGGTGGGAACGCAGATTGGGGCAGCCACTATGAAAAACGGTATGAAAATTCCTCAAAAAATTAAAAATGGAACTGCTTTATGACTCAGTAATTCCACTTTTGGGTATTTATTCGAAAAAACTCAAAACACTAATTTGAAAGAATATATGCATCACTATGTTCATTGTAGCGTTATTTACAATAGCCAAGGTATAGAAGCAATGCAAGCGCCCATCAGTAGACGGACTGAATAAAAAAGCTGTCTATATATATATAATATTACTTGGCCAATAAAAAGAATGAAATCTTACCATTTGTGACAGCATGGATGGACCTCGAGGGTTTTATTCTGAGATAAGTCAGTTATAGAAAGACAAATATCATATGATTTCACTTATACAGAAAACAAACTGATGGTTTCCAGAGGGGTTGGGAGACTGGGTGAAAAAGGTGAAAGGATTAAGAAGCAGGAATTGGTAGTCATAAAAGAGTCCCAAGTACAGCATAGGAAATATAGTCAATAATATTGTAATAACTATGCATGGTGCCAGGTGAATATTTGAAATATTGGGGGGGGGATCACTTTGTAAAGTATATTGTCTAACCACTGTGCTGTACACCTGAAATTAATACAAAATAATATTGAATGTAAACTGCCATTGAAAATAAAACTAAAACTGTAAAAAGGAGCAAAAATAATAAAATAAAATAAATAGAGGCTAAGATAAACTAAAAGGCTAGCTCCAAGTCACTTGAGAAGTGAAGTACCAATGTTTTCCACAATATTAAGTTGCTATTGAAAATGGTGTTTTGAGAAAATGCACCACAGCAAAAACCATTATTCATTTTGATACATGTCAAGGGGCTCTGAAATAATTCTACCTTGCTTACATTCTGTCAATTACAAAATTTTCTAATCTCTTCTATCCCTTTCCTCTAATGTGCTTTCTTGTACACAACACTAGATTTTTAAGAGAAAAGACTTCTTTTCAAGTAATTTGACAATGGGAATATTAATGTATCCTTAAATTACTTTTACACATATTAAATCAGCTTCTAAGAGACATCTAAAAAATAATTATCTTTCTGAATTCACCACTATTGCTTCAAAACATTCTGGACAAAAGTTTTACATTCTCAAAAATATACTCTTAACTTGAGAGCAGAATCTATAATTGCATGTGTTGAGAATAGGAAATATCCTACATATTAGGGTATTGGACATTGAATCTCTACTGAGACCTACTCTGGATATCTACAATAATAAAAGCGTAATATGCTAATTAGACCGGATAGCCCAATGACCTTCCAGACGTCATTTTGGATGTCCTTCTGGACGAAGCCCCAGTGGTGGGGGCCAAGGCAGAGGTGGTTAGGGGCAATCAGGCAGGCAGGCAGAGTGATTAGGCGCGATCAAGCAGGCAGGCAAGTGGTTATGGGGGATCAGGCAGGCAGGCAGAGTGGTTAGGGGCAATCAGGCAGGCAAGTGGTTAGGGGCAATCAGGCAGGCAAGCAGAGTGGTGAGGGGTAATCAGGCAGGCAGGCAAGTGGTTAGGGGCAATCAGGCAGGCAGGCAGGCAAGCAGTTACAGATTGCGAGAGGGTGCAGGCCGGGCTGAGGGACACCACACCCACTGCCCCCAGTGCACAAATTTCTTGCACTGGGCCTGTAGTAGAATAATATATCTATAGCCCCTGGTTTCCACATATACACGTATTACAAAGCACAATTGGTGACATTAGATTACTGAAAATTTCAACTACATTTACTTTCAGAGAGAATAAGTACACAGACAACATTTTTTATTTTGAAGAGCAGTCCTGAGGCTGTCTAGGATCTTACCACAAGCACCTGCCTCTCACCCCAGGGGCAAATAACTTAGAGGGGGTGTAATTATCTTTGTTGTTACTATTAGTAATTGAAACACGGAGGGGGTCTTTTTTTTAAGGTATTTCCATTGAATATATGCTCAATATTGGATTATATATTTTTTAAATTAAATCTTTATTGTCCAGATTATTACAGTTGTTCCTCTTTTTTCCCCCATAGCTCCCCTCCACCCAGTTCCCACCCTACCCTCTGCCCTTACCCCCCCCCACACACACACACACTGTCCTCAGTATTGGATTATATTAAAAGTCTAATATAGTAACTGAAAACTTTGGGTTTTGAGATGAGCACTACTTTGGGTGACATAAAAACAGACATTTTCATTTTGAAATTAAATGCTAATCAGCCATCAACTGTGTGCCAGATAAGAAGCTAAGCACTGGAGACATGAAAAGGTAAGACCCACTCCTTTCCTTTAAAGAACCTACTAAGTTGGAGAGAAGAAAAGACATACATAATGTGAATAAAAGCATAGCATTATAGGGCTGTTTATATGTGCCAGAGGGATTCATAATGATTTTCATGAGAGTTCAGATGGAGAGAACAGGAGAATGTTTTATTGAAATTTTTAGTTGTGGAAATGAATAAATAATTCTTAGAAGAGAACTGTCATCCTCTCATTGATATCCTATCAATAGTTTGGTCTTTTTTATTTTTTAATTTAATTTAATTTTTAAAATAAATCTTTATTGTTCAGATTATTACAGTTGTTCCTATTTTTCCCCCCCATAGCTCCCCTTCACCCGGTTCCCACCACACCCCATGCCTTTACCCCCGTCCCATTGTCCTTGTCCATAGGTGTAAGATTTTTGTCCAATCTCTTTCTGTACCCCCCATACCTCCTTCCCCCCGAGAATTGTCAGACCACAATAGTTTGGTCTTTTTATCAATATATTCTGGTAGCATATTTTTATATATTAAGTAGAGTGGATAAAAAGTGGGTCAAAATGCTTCAGGAATGCTTTCCTAAGTGGAGCATAATTGTGAATTGGACATAAACTAACTTCCAAAAGTTATGTTTACATACTTATTTAATTCCTTCACTATTACTCGCCTCCCAAGTTATCCCTCCTCAGCCAATCACTTCAACCCAAGTTCTTAATAAAAGTCAGACATACTTTGTTGGTCTCCACAGAGGTATACAGAAGCACCATAGTATTGTCGATGTCCCCATAGATGTCCAAAGTCACAGGGCCCTTATACCCTAGAGCAAAATCAGAAAGAGTTAGAGGCATTTGTTAACTTACTTACTGAAAGACCAATTAGATCCTGACAGAGAGTATAACATAGGTTCAAATTGCTTTATTGTACTGAAAAATAGTTGATCTAAATTATCTAATCTGAGGGCACCTGGACTGGTCCTTGGCCCTGAAATCTCTGAAGAATATTTTTATGAGTGGTGTTACTTAGTTAGTGGCTCTAAATATAATAGATTCCTCTTGATTATTAGTGAGAAGCTTTTGCTAAGAATATTTACTAAACTAGTATCACAGTGTGTAGGCCATTGCACAATCTAACTTAAGATTGTAAGAAGATTAAAATCCATTCACTATCACGTAAAGTTTGAAGACATTGAGAAAATTAAGTTCTCTGTGTCTTGGTTTCTCATCTATGAAATAACAACAGTACAACAAACTTATGAAATGGCTGTTTAGGTAAGAATATGATCAAATATCAGCAAATTCATATAGTTTAACATAATAGCTAATATTTATTTTGCATTTACTATACCAGTCTCTGTGCTAGGTGGTTTATATACATTTATCATTTTATTCTTCCTAAAATACCATGATGCAGAAACTATTATCTCCACCTTATTGCTGAGAAATCTGAGGTTAGAGATTTAAATAACTTGCTCCAGGTTGTACAGCTAGTAGATGGCTAATTTAGGACATAAATGTCTATTGGCTCTAAGCCTGTGTTAGTGCCCATTAAGATGCTTGGCCAAGATAATGATATGATAAATTAATTAAGAATGCACATAGCTGCCCTAACTGGTTTGGCTCAGTGGATAGAGCGTCGGCCTGTGGACTGAAAGGTCCCAGGTTCGATTCCGGCCAAGGGCATGTACCTTGGTTGCGGGCACATCCCCAGTAGGGGGTGTGCAGGAGGCAGCTGATCGATGTTTCTCTCTCATCGATATTTCTAACTCTCTATCCCTCTCCTTTCCTCTCTGTGAAAAATCAATAAAATATATATTTAAAAAAAAAAAAAAGAATGCACATAGCCCTGGCTGGTGCTCTCAGTAGTTTGGGTGCTTTCCTGTGTACTGAAGGGTCACCAGCTGCATTCCTGGTCAGGCACATACCCAGGTTGCTGGTTCGATCCCTGGTCCAGGTGTCTGAGGGAGGCAACCAATTGGTTTCTCTCTCACATCAATCAGTTTATCTCCCTCTCTCTTCCTCTCCCTTGTCTCTCTCTAAAGTCTATAAAAACATCTTTGAGAAAAAAAAAAAAGAATGCACATAGGATGATACTGAGAAGATGGTAGAGTAGGAAGCACCAGAAATCTATCTTCCCAACCTAGACAACAATTGCACTGGCAGAATCTGTCTGATATAACTATTCTGGAACTCTGGGCTTAGATGGTAAGTTGTGATTAATTTTCATCCATTTTGGCTCTTAGCACAGCAGCAGTACTTTCCCCCACCCCTCAGTCCTGTGGCAGACAGCTGTGCATGTGTTCCTACAGCAGTTCACACACCACTCGCAGGAGCCAGGATGAGCAAAAAAGAAAGAACCTGTTGTCCAAGATATTGGGGATCTGTGCCCTAATTGCTGATTATTGCTTATGATCACAGAGGTGCAGACAAAGAGGTGGTGGCCATTGTTGCTGCACCTCCTCCCATTGTTGTAAACCCCACCCCTCTACTAACATGACTTTTGGGGGGTGTAAAGGGTTAGTGACCCTTATACTCTCTTTCTTTTTCTTTTTTTCCCTTTGAAGGACAGATAATGATGGCTAGGACATTCAAGCAACTGCACTGGGCATGCCCAGGAGAAGCCAGAAGCTCAGAAAAGAACTGAGAAGGCCTTAAGTTTATTCCTCAGCATAGAGACAGCCCACAACAATAAAAACAAAAAGCAGAAATGAAACCCAGCAAACCCTGGGGAATGGGAAATTAATTCCCCATGTGGTTTTCAGAATTATCAGGTTATTATATTCAAATATCCAGTTTTCAATGACAACAGCAAATCACAAGGTACTCCTTAGCTGGTTTGGCTCAGTGGATAGAGCATCGACCTGTGGACTGAAGGGTCCCAGGTTCAACTCCAGTCATGGGCACATACTGGGTTGCAGGCTTGATCCCCAGTAGAGGGTATGCAGGAGGCAGCCAACCAATGATTCTCTCTCATCATTGATGTTTCTAACTCTCTCTTCCCTTCCTCTCCGAAATCAATAAAAAATATATTTGGAAAAAAATCACAAGGCATACAAAGAAAAAGGAAAATCTGGCCCATTCAAAAGAAAAAAGGTAAGATAACAGAACTGTCCCTGAAAAAGACATGATGGTGGATCTGTTAGACAAAGGTTTTAAAACAATGATCTTAAATATGCTCAAAGAATTCAGAAGACATGGATAAATTCAAGAAAACGATGCATAAACAAAATGAAAATAACACTAAAGAGAAGAAAATCTAAAACAGAAACCAAAAAGAAATTCTGGAAGTAAAAAGTACAATAACTGAAGTGAAAAATTCACTAGAGGGATTCAGAGGCAGATTTGAGCAGGCAGAAGAATCAGCAAACATGAATATAGGACAATGGAAATTACTGAGTCTGAGGAACAGAAAGAAGAAAAGATTGAAGAAAAGTGACCTGTGGAACATTATCAAGTAGACCAACACAGGCAAAGAAGGAAAAGAGAGAATATTAGAAGTAATGTCCAAAAACGTCCCAAATTTGATCAAAGACAGGATTATAAATATGCAAGAAGCTCAATAAATTTTAAGTAAGGTGAGTTCAGACACTCACACCAAGACGCATTATAATAAAACTGTCAAAAGCCAAAGACAAAGAGAATTTTGCAAGCAGTAAGTGAAGTGATTTGTCCCATTCAAAGGATACTGAATAAGATTGTTAGCTGGTTTCTCATTAGAACCTTTGAAGGCCAGAAGGCAGTGGGATGATATATTCAAAATGCTAAAAGAAAAAACTATCAACTAAGAATCCTTTGTGACATTTACATGAATAGAACCTCGAGGACATTATGCTAAGTGAAATAATACAATCACAAAAAGAATAATACTGTCTGATTCCACTTATATGAGATATGTAGAATAAAGTCACAGAGACAAAAAGTAGGGTGGTGGTTGCCAGGAGGTAGGGGTAGGGGACAATGGGTAATTATTGTTTAATAACGATAGAATTTCAGTTTAAAAGATGAAAGTTCTGGCAATAGGTGATGGTGATAGTTGCACAGTGATATGAATGAACGTAATAACACTGAACTATATATACTTAAAAATGATTAAGATCGTATATTTAATATTATGTGTTTTACCACAATTTTAAAAACTTGGGGGAAAATAATGTCCATAAAGTGCCTATAAGAACTTGGGACACAGGAAAAAAATCAATAAAACATTATTCCTCCCTGCCTCCCTGCCTCCCTGCTTCTTCAGGGGTGCAGAAGTGATTTCTTCCTATCCTTGTCATATCCTATAGACACTGATGCAGCCCTCAAGCTTAGTGTTGGGTGTCTGCCACCTTCTGAAGTCAAGAGAAGACTCACACTGCAGTAGGATAAAAGTTTGTCAGAGTAAGGATTTAAGGCAAGTTAGAAAAGTCAACTATCATTTGTCTTTTACTTAATAAACATTAATCTAAAAAGACTTTTTTTCATGGTAACTGGATGAGATCTGGGAAATAAAAGGAGTTTCAATAGAAGCTTGCGTGGACAGAAAATGCTGATTCCTATAGTTCAGAAGGACAAGCGTTGTGAAATTTTGGATGGTATTGCTATGAGAGGTTTTGAGTTGGAGGGGTAACACAGGGTCCCTCATTTTGGAAGGACAGAAAGAGAAGTATGGAAGGACCAAAATCAAACTACAGGCACTTTTCTTGCTAATCTCCAAGCACAGTCAGGACATCATGGCTCAAAATGATCAAAATGATCTGCGATGAGCTTGTTCGTAACTACAGGGCCTGAGCTACATGCTCTTTCCTTGATATTCAAGGATTCTGAAATTCTAAAGCATAAACTGGGGTCTAGTTATTGATAACAGCACCCCCAAACTCTATACAATGATGTCTACCTCCCATTAAGTTCAAAGGTATTTATCTGTTGATCCATTTATTGCCAAACCCCCTCTTTGCTCCCCAAAGTCCATATTTCTTCAGCTTTCTGTAGAGAGTGTTAAGTGTTGTTGTTTGCTCTTAGGTGACCAGTACCTTCGAAAGTGAGGTTCCTGAAAGCATGAGCAAGTTCGTCGGTGTCAACTTCTTTTCCTTTTCCAAGAAATGTCTTTAGCACATGTCCAAAGAGCAAGATTCCATTCAAATAGGCAAGAGAAAAGTCATTTAACTCCTGAACAAGAAAGAAAAATCTTAAAATGAGTTCTAAAAAAGAGATTATGGTCTTGAGCCAGGAGCAAAATGTTCTTGGGGTCAGCAGGGTAACGGAATATTGGGGGAATTGTAGAAACGGAGACTTTGGGGTAATATTTCCTTGGGGGGGGGGGCACTCTGTATTATCACTATGTCACAATTCTGTCTTGGGATCAATAAACCGAGAACACTGCCTTCAAGGAAGTAACTGGATGCAGTTGTACTTCTTTCCCATGAGGATAAAATATCTCATTTCAACCAGGAAAGAAAACATACAGCATTTTCATAATCCTTATAAGATTTTACAGAAAATTAACGCTTGCAGTTTAATGTTCCCCTTAAAGAGTAAAAGCGAACAACCACAAAAACATGTCCCTGCCTTTGAACATCCTAAATGGCACAGGAGGAGTTTTGATTGGAAGGTATTGAGCTTGCTTTGAAGGCAGTTCTTTTTCTTTATTTTTTAAAAGAATATATTTTTATTGATTTCAGAAAGAGGAAGGGAGAGGGAGATAGAAACATGAGAGAGAATCATCGTTAGGCTGCCTCCTGTACACCTCCTACTGTAGATCAAGCCCACAACCTGGGCATGTGCCCTGACCAGGAATTGAACCCTGACCTTCTGGTTCATGGGTCGACACTCAACCACTGAGCCACACTGGCTGGGCTGAAGACAGTTCTGATTGGGTGTTACTTCAGGCCATAAATGTCTGCCCAGGGGAACAAAAAAGAGAGGGTCAGGCCCTGGCTGGTGTGGCCCTGTGGGTTGGGCATTGTCCTGTACACTGAAAGGTTGCTGGTTGGATTCTGTGTCAGGGCACATGTCTAGGTTGAGGGCTGATCTCTGATAGGGGACATGCAGGAGGCAGCCAATTGATGTTTTTTTCTCACATCGATGTTTCTCTCTCTCTCCCTCTCCCTTCCTCTCTCTCTCTAAAAATCAATTTTAAAAATCAGATAAATAAATAAAAGAGAGGGTTAAAACTCCCTTGCAACAATTATATGCTGGTCTTCACAGAGTAAGGCTATGGATTAAAAGCTCTGTGCTCCACTGAAGCCAAGTGAGTTCTGTCAACTTGGGTATTTTGGATTGCACACTTTTGCCAGACCTTAGAAGCTATGCAAGTGATACCTGAATACTATACCCTGAAGAATATATGTTAGAAAATATAATAGGGAAAAAAATAAAACCACCTCTCATTGGTTTCAGTGCTTTTTGCTAAAATCATCATTTCATGAGCTGAAAAGAATCCAGTTGAGACCCAGCCCTACCCAAAAGGGGGTGTGACTCCTAATTTTGGCAGGGTTGTAAAACAGAGGGCTTAGCACTGCTAGTGCAGGAAAAACTGTGATACTCCAAAGATACCCAACTTGCTTTATAGAGCTTTTTGGGCCTGGCCTTTGCTTGCCAACCCAAAACTGTTCATGGTCCTCAGGACTGCTCCTTCCCTTCTCTTCCCACTCCAAAACTGCTCTCAAGTATCTCTGAGTGCAGAATACATCTGATGAATTTGATCACATTAAAGTGCATTGTCTGACCAAGACCAAGTGGTATTAGTGTCAGGAGCCCCTCATTATACTTAGGTGACCATGATTTGATATCCAAATGGAGCATCTTTTTCTTGGAGACAAATGCTAAACCAGATGAAATGCTTGGATAAGAGGCATAAACCAGGACTCTTTTGGATAAATGTGGACAATGGTTAACCTAATCACAATAGATAACAATGTTTTTACTTAGGAATACAGGGATGGGCAAAGTAGGTTTACAGTTGTGAGTATGCAAAACACAGATTTTATTTAGGTACTAGTAGCCCGGTGCACAAAAATTTGTGCACTCGGGGGTGAGGGTGAGGGGTGGGGCCAGACCCCTCAGCCCGACCTGCACCCTCTGTCATGTTCCGGGACCCCGGCCACTCCTGGCCTAAGCACAGGCCTACAGGCTTGGGGTGGCTTGGCTTCCGAGGCCCCATTTTATCAAGAGAACAAAGTCTGCATTAGTTACAGCCCTCACAGAACCCAGTACAGTGTATCTGTGCATACAACTGCCTCCTTCATGTGCCTGCTTCGCCCTACTGAATTACTAACATCTTGAGGACATAGCTCTGTCTTATCCTGCTTCACCTTCAGTGCCTGGCCTGGTGCTAGGGACCTGAGAGGGTTTGCTGAGTGAGTGAATGAGTGAATGAATGAGCGAGTGAATGAGTGAATGAATGAGCAAGTAAGTGAATGAGCAAGCAGCTACCGGTCGTGATAGTTCGCACTCTGCTCTGGGCTGCCTGACGCAAACCCCGGGCAGTTCCCGCCCTGCTCCCACCGGCCCCACTCCCCTCTCCCAGCTGCATAGTATGCGCAGGGCAAAGGCGGCCTGGGTGTGCATGTTGGCAGATCAGTGCATTAGCACCCGCCAACCCGGGATCCCCATGGAAAGGCCATTTGTGGGCGCAGCCGGTGGCAGATGGGTGCATTACCACCTGCCAGCCATGGATCCTCTGGTGGGCCATTTGTGGGCGCAGCTGGTGGCTGATCGGTGCATTAGCACCCGCCAACCCAGGATCCCCATGGGAAGGCCATTTGTGGGCACAGCCAGTGGTGGATGGGTGCATTACCACCTGCCAGCCATGGATCCTCTGGTGGGCCATTTGTGGGCGCAGCTGGTGGCTGATCGGTGCATTAGCACCCGCCAACCCAGGATCCTCATGGGAAGGCCATTTGTGGGCACAGCCAGTGGCGGATGGGTGCATTACCACCTGCCAGCCAGGGATCCCCGCGGGAGGGCTGTTTGGGGCGTGGCCATTGGCAGATCAGTGCATTAGCACCCGCCAACCCGGGATCCCACGGGAGGGCCGTTTGTGGGCGTGTCTGGTGGTGGATCACTGTGGTCCCGCCGGCCAGCCCTGGATCGGGTCCCATACGGGCTGCCTGCCGCCTGGGTCGCAGATAGCAGGCCCGGATGGCAGCAGGCCAGGCGGGATGGCGCTGTCCTGCCCTGCCTGTAGTATGCAAATTAGCTGCCATCTTTGTTGGCAGTTAACCGCCATCTTGGTTGGCAGTTAATTTGCATATCACCCTGATTAGCCAGTGGGAAGTGTGTCAGAGGTACGGTTAATTACCATGTTTGTCTATTATTAGATAGGATTATTGTTTAGTAATTGTTGTATTTTGCATATGAACAGCTGAAAACCTACCTTTGCCCACTCCTGTGTATATCTCTAGAGATAGAATTTGATATGGGTGCCAGCAGAAAGTTGCTTTAGGATGTAGGAAAACTTCACTTATTTTACATTGTTTATTTCCACCTCCCCTAAGTTAGCAGGACGTCTTCTATCTTCCCACACTATCACTTCCATTCTGATGTTACAGAAGTGCTGGTCTAGAGCCTAACACACTGACCCATAGTAAGAGTTTTAGTAGCAGGAATCTTGCAATTACACCTAGTAGGTCTCAGTTAACACTTGCTGAGTGAATTGAAATGAGTACAAAAATAATGCTCATCTTAGAATTTGAGTCCCAAAGAGTAGAATAATATCTTAACCTTGAAGAAGAAAATAATAGTATGCATATATGAAGCTTACCAATGATAAGTCCTGGGGAAAAGAACTATCTGGGATGGACTCTTCAGGAGGCAGTGTCAAAACAAGGACATTTTTCATATGGTCAGGGGCTGTGACATTGTCCATGAAATAGTGGTTACTGCAATAAAAGCACAATTTCTCATGAAAATTAGGTTCCTCCAAATAGAGAGATAGAGCTCCTACAATTTCACTCAAACTAAAATAGTAGTCTTGAAATAGTTTAAAACATATTCTTTTTTCCAGTAACCTGCAAAGCTGTCTACTTTCTCCATATAGGCTTAATTCTTTCAATTTGCTAAGTTGAACAAGAGAAATTAGGCAGCTGTACGTAACATACACAAAGGGAAAGGAAGATCAGAAGACATATACCACTTTCAGGGAAATGTGTCTGAGCTCTGGACACGTGAGCTAGTGGTTGCTTTCAAGACTTAATGACCCTTGGTTTATATCTGGGAACATTCTTTTCCTTGAGTGCTCATAACAATTTAGAGATATTAAGATATGATAAAAAAAATTAGGAGTGAAAATTACTTTTCAGATGGTAAAACATAAGAATGGAAGGGCTAAACATTTTCTCTACCACTACTGTAAACTTCTTGACATGAGCTTATTGATCCTTGTATCCTCAACTCCAAGATAATTCTTGGCACACTGTGGACTCTCAATAATGTCTGAGACTGTGCTGCAAATGGTATCTACCTTCCCAACCATTTGAATGTTTTAATAGGTCAAGAATCTAACATGTTTGAACTGCTATAACTAGGCTGACCATCATTTAATATTCAAACAGGAGGTGAACACATCTATGAACTGAGAACTGTTTTGAATCTTTTGCTCATATTAGCACATACAATTCTAAAAGTACCCCGATACAGTGGACATTTTTATTCTCATTTTACAAAGGAGTAGATTAAATCTCAAAATACTAAGTAATACCCAAGAGTCAAATGAACCAGAAGTGTCAGAATTAGAATTTGAATCCAAGTTATGTATGTCTAGTTCCAAGTGAATCTCATGATTTTCCCAAAACATAGTCAGGTGTCCTTCAGGAATAGCGACAAGGGATTGCCAACACTTTGGCAGTCGATTGAGGATTTGCTAAAAGTAAAATTACACCAACTAAGTTACACTGAGGACTCCTTCCGGAGGGCAAAACAGTTACTGAAAGAAGCCATCAATGTGGTTGTTGGGATGAAATGCTGATGATGTGCCCTCCTTCCTGTGTGCTGCAGCTAAAAAGTTACATTGGTTATCTTCATGAGCAACTTGTGGTCAAACAGGCCTCCAGTTGATATGCTTCATTTCTCTTAACACTGTGAAAGGTACATTTAGTGTGGGTGAAGTGACTAGGCAAACACAGGAAAGAGCTAACGCAGTAACATTTTCTGGTCTGAACATAGAAAGGTAATGATTAATGATCCAGTCAGATAAGTGAAGTCAGATGATCTAGCTGATGGGGCAAAGGACACAGCCATACCAGTGAAACCCTCTTTAAGTTTATTCTGACTCACATATTACCTTGACACAGTTAGTCTGTGGGTCTCCACATTAAAAGATGAGTGGTAAAATGAGGAACGTGATAAAAAGTAGTTCTATTGCCCTGGCTGGTTTGGCTCAGTGGATAGAGTGTTGGCCTGTGGACTGAAGGATCATGAGTTGGATTGTGGTCAAGGGCATGTACCTTGGTTGCGGGCTTAATCTCCGGCCCCAGTTGGGGTGCCTGAAGGAGGCAACCAACTAATGTGTCTCTCTCACATTGATGTTTCTCTCTTTTTCTCCCCTTCCCTTCCACTCTCTCTAAAAAATCAATGGAAAAAATATCCTCAAAATAAATAAATATTATCTAAATAAATAAATAAATAAATAAATGAAAAAATAAATGTGATTTCTGTTTTTCTCTCTCTCTCTCTTTAGTTCCAGACAAATGCAAAGGAAAAGATCACCACCCAGTGATGATTCACAGTAGGCAAAAGATAACTGTATAAATTAAATTCAGTTAACTAGAACTTTCCTCATACCAAAGGTGGCTGAAGGGAAAATAATCTAGGATCAAAGGCCATTAGCATTTGAAGGCACATATATGGCACACATTCTCATAGATAATATTATTGGGTTATAAGCTGATTTATCACTACCTGAGAAAGACCTTAAAGTCAGGCTGGACACCAGGATAAATAGACATGTGGGTTTAATGGGATTTTCATAAAATTTTGTTATTTAGACATGATAGTGATGTCAAAGGAATACATCTCCACTAAGGCCATGATTAATTAAAAAAGAATGAGGGCATTAGAAAAGGAACACGACATAGATTAAAATACTACCATCATGCCCTAGCCGGTTTGATTCCAGTCAAAGGCATGTACCTTGGTTGCAGGCTCCTGGCCCTGGGCGTGTGGAAGGCAACCAATTGATGTGTCTCTCTCACATCGATGTTTCTCTCTGTCTCTCCCTCTCCCCTCCATTCTCTCTAAAAATCAATGGAAAAAAATATCTTCAGGTGAGGATTAAAAAAATATATTATCATCATACTGAACCCTATATGAGGCTGTGCAAAACAAAGGAAAAGAGAATGCGCCTTTTGGAAATCCTTGGAGTATTTTCTTTCTGAAAGGAGAAGAGTTCTTCCAAATATTATACCTACTTAAATAGATCCACTAGAATAATGACAGTGTCTTCAGCCACTTCCCGGTCACCCTTGATGGAGGGGATGATGTCTGGTGTACCACACACAATAATCACTGAGGAGAGAGAGCAAGACAAAGAGAGAAATATACAATGGTGTACACACAAACAGAAAGGGAACCCGGTGTCTGAATTTGAACTCAGTATGTCCATGATATGTTTGTTTTAAGACTAATTCCTCAAATTACTATCTCCCCTTTTTTTAAATTTACAGTCACAGAGTCAGAGTAGAGCTAAATGGAATCTTAAAAAGAATGATCTGGTCCATTCCCTTAATTTTGTTGATTTAAGGAAACCGAAGCCAAGATGTCAAAGTGTTAAAGAACTAGTAGATGACAGAGGTAGCTCTACTATTCAAGCTTTATGAGTCTGAGTTCATCCTTATTCCATTACACCACACTGGAGTATTCCAAAAACTATTTTCATTGGTTACTATTTTCACCTCACCATATGTAAAGTGGTTGGAAAAGATATAGAATAAGTTAATGTGAGAATTTATGAAGTTTTCCTAAGCAACTTTCTTTGTGGGCTTTGTAGCCTCTTAACACAGATCTTAGTCTTCGTGATCTCAGTGATGGAGTCCTATCTGATTCTATAACTGCAGCTACACTTCCCAAATGCATGACTTTATGAGTAAGAGGAGTTGGGAGATACTTCCTTAGATTTTTTAAAATATTGTGTTGCCCAGTTGAATTGTAAGCCCTGTAGGGACACGAATAATTTAATACTTCATTTTCCCCCTCATATCTTGGTCAATGTTTTGCAAATGGTAGGTTCTTAGTTTGGTAAATGCTTAATAAGTATGATGATGTAGATAATGATTTGAGTGACACCAGGAAATCCTGCCAAGCAAGGATTTTCCCATAGGAAACTCCCACAGTTGATTCCTTTACTCCTGATATATTCTAATTTGTAAAAAGAATTCTATGGAAAATGAAGCAAATCACCTAATAACTTAGAAAGGATGACTTTATCCCACTAGTGTTTCACACTTGACTTGTAACTCAGAGATCATTAGGCAGGTGATGTATTTTGCTTACTTTTACAATTTTACATGAGGCTAGATATCAGTAAACATATCCTCTTAGTCATGAGTGAAGCAGGGTTCAGAATGTTTGAGGAATTGTCACAAATCCAATAACATATTGGATTGAGGTGAACTGAAAAGCCAGTTTACTGTGATGGTGGGTCGTGATGTCATTTTGGTTTATAAAAATTGGATTTTAACATCATCATTACTTTCATGAAGTTAATATATTTGTTCAATGTCACTTTTCTAATTTCTCCCAGAGGATAAAGTTTTAATCAACAAAAGAAACAATATAATGGAGTTGCATGCAACTACAGATCTCCCAAAAGATAAGAAGTAAATTGAGGTAATGATGACAACTCTGTCTGATAGATTTGTCAAATGACTCATAAGGAAGTGGTAGCTGTGAGGAAGAAGTTGGCAAAATTATCTTCATGTCTTCATACCATTGCTTTTCCTATCCTGGTCCATTAAGATTTTCTGAAACTCAGCCTTTCCTCTCAATACCTCTTTGAAGCTAAGTTCCTGAGAAAAATAAGAAACTCCAGCCTCTAGAGCATTGAGGTACCTAGAACAAAAAAAAGAGAGAAACTATAAGAATCCAGCTTTGTTTCCTCATGGCATTCCATGCCATTTGCTCATTGCTTACAGATCTGTCCTGAACTTGTTAATCAAAAATTCACGTCTGCTATTAACACAGTAGATAATACACCCCATGAGTGTGAACATCTAATTTAGTGAAAGTATTGGGGAACTTTTAGGGGATCTTCATTACACATAGTAGAAAATTTGGTGGGTCCCTTATAATGGCTTTCTGCTATTTGCCAAAGAAACCAGCCCCATTATCACAGATAAGTTGAAACCTTTGAATCTACAGTACAAAAATCCAAGTTGATAGAAATAATTTCTCCTCCTGTGTGAAATGAATTTATATGTGTTCTAAGTTCACCCCAAAGTTTCTAGGACAAGGCCTTTGGGTTGATTCTTGTAGTTCCGTAGATGTGCAAACCCAGTGGTGCCCTACTTTTAGTCTTCTGCGTACTTACATAGATAGAGACTACAGAACTGAGCAGCGTCAGCATTGTGGTTCTGTAATAACCTGATCAAAGGATCCTGTCTGCTATCTTTGCTGAAGGAGAGGGAACTTGCAATTTTATTTTGGCAGTGGTGCCCATTAGCCTGTTCTCTGTCCACCTCCCAACTTATTTTTCTGAAAAAACTATGAGAGAAATGGTTTCTAACTAATTGTAGGTATAGGCAGAATGCATATTCTCTGGTATCATGTCTTGCACAGTAATGTGAAAGCATTAACTTCTGGTTTTCATTTCCTTATCTGTAAAATGGGGATCATAGTACCTGTTCTCTTTTCTTCAGAAGGTTTCCCGTGGGAAATCAATAAAACTATCTTAGAGGTAGTTTGAAAACTACTAAGAGTTTGAAAATGCAACGCATGCTGATTATGTTTATTATACTATGTTTCCTTTGGCCCCTTTGCTTTTATTTGTAAGAGACTGAGCTGATGTCCACTCCCACTGCTGTAACAGATGGAAAAGGTGCATCTGATAATAACCAGTGGCCGGCCATGAGTCTATGGCTTCTTTCTGTGGCAAGTGCCAGAGAATGTTAATAATTCTGCTTACCATAAACAGTCCTCAGATTCGTTATTATTCTTGAAAACATATGCAGTGGTCCAGGGAGAGGTTTTAAATGACAAATTATTAATCTTCCAAAAGTCAACCAAGAAGTGAGTCAACTTCCTAGCTGGAGACATCAACCTGGTTAAATTTTCTTTGAAGTCACATGACAATCCAAAACTTCCAGCTGAAATCATGGGATATGTAAAATTTGCATCAAGGCTATGCCAAGAGGTAAAAAAGGAGAAATAAATATCAGGGTTAACTTAAGTAGCACAAATAAGATCGCTCTTTAACCTGTTTCAGCATGTAAAGAAATACAGGTGACCCTCCCACACAGGTGAATTTTAAAACATTTATTAAGCATATGCTAGGCTTTAAGAACACTTTAGGTGTCTTCATGTATCTGTGACTTAGTTACTTAGATTTATTCTAAAATAAGTTGTCATTTGGGCTGTCATAACATGCAGGCTGGAACATATAAAATTTGGGGAGTAGGGCTAAGAAAATAGAGGATGGGCCTCTATAGCTACCACAATTGTAAAGTCCAAAGGATGCCCTCTACACTTTTTTCTCTATTCATTTCCTTGCTTCTGGCTCTTCTGTGGATTACATTTGAGATAGACATCGCTGAGGATTTTAAAGTTTTCCTTCCTCTGCTCAGCACATAGACCTTCTTATAGTTCCTTAAACATAACAAGCTTTATTCTCCATCAGGGCCTCACAAATACCAAGAATGCTGTTGCCCTGTCCCTTTGACTGACTCTTACTAATCCATCAAGTCCTAGATTAAATGTCTCTTTAGTCATCAGGAAAATTTCCTTGATACCTAAGACCAGGCAATTATTTGGATGAGTATCTGTCTCCTCCACTAGATTGCAAGCTCCATTAAAGCCAGGGATCATGTCTTGCTTGTTCACCTCAGCATCCCCAGTCAGCCTGGTCCGGATGTAGGTGCTCAATATGTATTTGATAAAGGAAGGACAAAAATACCCCCTTCCATCTTCAGTGTTCCACTGAAAGGTGTCACTGAGTGTTCTGCTCACATCTCAAACTCCCCACGTTCACAGCCAAATTTATTTTTATTTCTCAAAATGGTTCTTTATCCTGAATCTCCATTTCTTTTAGTGTTTTGAGATCTCAAAGTCTTTTTGACTACCTTCCAGCACTCACCCCAACATCCAATCAGTTATTAAATACTATTGATTCCACCTTTAAATATCTTTAAAAGTTACCCTCCCTGTGCATGTCAGCTGCTTTCATGCTGAACAGATCCCCTCTTCTCCCCTGCTGACTTCTCTGCCAACACTCTCTCCTTGACTGCCCCAGTCTTTCCTGTACACTGTTGTCAATTATTCTTCCCAAAGTTAAACTGCTTCCTATGGTACTTCCCTGCTCAACCTTAGTGGACTTGCCATGTGCAAAGAAGGAGGACTTTGAACAAATAGAACAAAATCCAATTAAATATAACAAAGCATATGCAACTAATAATCTAATTAAATATAACTCTTTCCCCCAGAACTCAAGACCTCCCAAATATGGCCCTCCTTCATTTTTTCTAGTTTTATCTCTATTATTCTCCTCTATATCTCTTGCATGCCCGTTAGTACAGAGTTTAACAAGTTTTCTACACTTCACTGCTTCTTTGCTTTTACACTTACTTCTTTCTCTGCCTGGCTGGGGATACTTAACCCCTTAAATACTTTACCCATTAAAATATACCCATTTTTCAACATACAACTTCTACTATATCACTGCCTTCATGAAGTCTTTCCCTTATCGAAGCGTAACTCTCCTAACCAGAGGTGACCATTTCCCTCTGTGCACCCAGAGCGTCTTGTTTGTTTCCTTCTCTGATTGAACCTACCTGACTCTGACTTGTACTGGTCACCAGCGTCCTCATCACTTTCTCATGTCACCAGGCAGGGGCTAGGTTTTACTTAATTCTCTCTATTCCAATAAAATAAAATGCTTCTTGCCTGTATTGTGTGGCTGAGTGGCTGATCCATGAACCAGGAGGTGACCCATGAACCAGGAGGTGATGGTTCAATCCTCGGTCAGGGCACATGCCCTGATTGTGGGCTCAATCCCAGTAGGGGAAGTGCAGGAGGCAGCTAGTCGATCATTCTGTCTCATCATTGATGTTTCTATCTTTCTCTCCCTTTCCCTTCCTCTCTCTCTAAACTCAATAAAAAACATATTTAAAATGAAAATGCTTCTTTGCACATGGCAAGTCCTCCTAATTGGTGAGTTCATTTTCTTAACCCCCCTTTTCTTTTGAGCATACTCTATAGCATTGTCAATAAGTAGTCAGACAAGATGACAACCAGGAACGAGTGCAAGGAAGAGTGAGATTTTGTATTTGTCTGCATTTTGGTATGGAAGATGAGCTAAAAAAATGCTTCTATGGTGTGTCTATGGAGTGCATTGGCCCAAGCACCTGAATCTGCCTGTGGAGCTGGTGTGAGGTGTGAGAAGAACAGTTTGCAACAGACATTTCAGAGGCCTAATGTTTATTCTCCAGAGTCTCTTGCAAAGGGTTTTTCAGCACAGTTCTCTGTGCGTAAGCAAGGGCTGATCCTTGATTCAGGGTAAGATTGTAACAGGTGAGAGAAGGGCATGTGGGAGGGATTTTGACTGGGGTCAGTGTAATCTGGAAGACCAAAGTGTTCATGGTGATGAGATTTAATGAATGGAAGGGATGAGGGCGACTGTCCCAAAGAGAGGTATTTGCATTCAGGAATATATTGAAAGCTTCTTTCTAAGGTGATCAGGGCATTGTGCAAAGTACTGTAATGTGTTATTTAAAACCTTCAAATAATGCTATGAAATAAGTACCTTGCTCCCTTCCTTACTCTTGTAAACCCAGAGCTAAAACAGAGCCCTGCTCATGCCCTTCAGTGCTTCCCTTTTCTTTGTGTTTCCATACACTCTGCTTATACTTTTGTGAGTATTTCTTTGATTAAGCCCCTTCAAATTATCTAAGTGCATGTCTTCCCTGTTTCCTACCAGAACTCTGACTTTATACCATGTTGCTTCTCCAGCTTAGATGTTGATAACTGCACCTGAACAGCTACTGTGACTCACCCCACTCTGAGCAAAGGCAGAGTTAACTCGATAAGGGAATTACAGTTCTAAGAATATAGGAGGGCCCCAACACCCCCCATTGTGTCGCTTTGACTAGACTGCTGTTTGATAAACTTTTTAGCACAGATGTCATGTCTTGATTTCAATTCATAGTGGCATCAAAACAACAACAAAACAAAATACTTACTACATCTGGAAGGTGGAATATGTACACGAGGGTCCCATGAGGACACAACCCACCTCTTTTTTATTCTGTAGGAGAAAAAAAGAAAGAAAAAAACTAATGCCTAAAATGGAAACCACACACACACACACACAACAAAAAAAGAAAACAAAACAAAGGAAAGAATCAATAGACAGAAAAGAAGTGGCAAGGGAAGGCTCCCAGAAGGTTAGAAAGTGGACCACTTAAGATGTTAGAATGCAGAGCAGAAGGGGGCAACATGGGGTGCCTCTTGCTGGGCAAGGGGCAGCTAAGGGATGAACTAGTCTGAGAGAGGCGGTGCTATGGGTAGAGGGAAAGGTATTCCACTGAAAGGGAGCTGACTGCAGGGAACCTGCATTCTTTGTCAAGAGGGAGATGCAGAGTGGAGGAAGGACTGGCAGATGGGCACGTACATAGTAGTGTCTGTCGGCCACATTAGAGAAAAACTAGATCTGGAGGTGCTCTGGAGGGAGTGGGCAAGTTTTAGGAAGAGCTACGAAGTAGGGCTAAAGAGAACAAATGTAATGTGACCAGCTGGGCAATGATAGATCTTATTTTCAACTATATCTCAAGGGGAATGTGATTAGGAACATCCTGTCTTTGGTTTTAGAGAACCAGGTCATACCTTCCTCTGTAGAGATCCAGGGAGGAAGCACCTAAACTTTTCTTCCTCCTCCGCTATCCCTCCCCCAACCTCCCAGGACTGAGGGTGACTGCTGTAATCAGCCACTCCTCCTGGCCCAGGTGGAGCCTACCTCAGCATAATAACGTATAATATTATTGATTGAAGCTTTGAAACCATGCACAGCTCTGTGCCTGGTGCCCTGTTTCATGAGGGCCTTTTCAAAGATTTCTGTAGTAAAGGGGGCATCTCACACACATACTTGCTTCTAGAGAGCTGGAACACTCTTTAGTGTTCCAAGACCTGCATGGGGCGGGGGGGAGGGGGGGGGGTGCGGGGCGCAGTTAGGAGTAGGGATTAGGCAAGAATCTCTCTCGCCCAATTATCTTCCCTTTGATATGACGTTATTACGTTAAAGTTAGGTTTCAGATTCAGATCTCATGTAGTCACATATATGGTGATGACTTGACACAGAGATCTCTGCTGAAGGGCTTTAGAATATATTTTTAACAGGGCACCTCAGGTATTTCTTGAGGGATACAAAGGCAAACAAGTTAGGAACAACATTTAAATTTTTAAAACGTGTTTAAAACAAAATAATTCCACTCCCTAACATGGAAAGTGCACAGATAGCTAAGGTTCTTTCCATTTCCTGGATTCCTGGCGGGCCCTCATCACACGGGAAATCTATAGGGATAAAGTTAGAGAATCTTGCGTTGACATCGTTCAGCATGGCTAGAGCTGACATGAGAGATGCTCGTGGACAGGTGCCCAAGGTTCACACTATGATTGTCCAGTGACAAGAGGGTGTGAGCTATATCTACCAAGGCAGATACTTACGAAAATTCTCCTGAGTAGGTCAAGGCCTTCACAGGTGCTACTCCGACAGTCATTTGACTTATAAAACGCATCCTCTGTACGGATAAAGCTAGCGTTCACAGTTGCATTTATTCCTATTATCCAGAAAAGAGCAAACAGAGAGAACTAGTGTTATTTTTTAGTAGTTCATACCAGACATAAAATTTACCTTTTGACAACTGATCCTGAGGAAAAAAGTGGAGATCCATTTTCAGACCTAGGGATATTTGAGTTTGGAGTTCTTATATTACTCTCTGTCACTTCTTTCTCTCTCTATCTCTTTCTCTCTGCTCCTATCTCTCTCTCATCAGCTTTTTTGAGGCATAATTTACCACCAGAAAAAATCAGTCATTTTAAGTGTACAATTCAATGATTTTTAGTAAACATATTTATATGTATATATACTGTATTCAGCACATATATATACTATATAGGGTGGGGCAAAAGTAGGTTTACAGTTGTTCATATGGAAAATAATACAATAATCAATAAATAATAATACAAGAATAAACTCCATGTTTTGTGTACCTACAATTGTAAACCTACTTTTGGCCCACCTTGTGTGTGTGTGTGTATGTGCGTGTGTGTGTGTGTGTGTGTGTGTGTGTGTGTGTGTTATGTATGTATATATATTTGCACAGCCATCCCACAATCCAGTTGAGAACATTTTCTTCATCCCGTTTTTTATTATTGTAGACTCAGCAAGTTTCCTATATGGGTCTGGTAAGTGTTAGGAAAGCAATGACAGCCAAAGTGACTTGTGCCCACCCATTCTGGCCCAGAATCTTTGGATAATGGGTCATCTTCAGATGAAGGCAAGAGTATCGATGCCAATATATCTGGGTATTGCTAGGCATCACATTTTGGAAGACAATAAAGAGAGAGCAGAACCATTTGACCAAACTCTTTCTCTTGCATTTTGTTTTCCTTCCAATAAAAAAAATATTCAGGCCCTAACCAGTTTGGCTCAGTGGATAGAGCGTCAGTCTGTGGACTCAAGGGTCCCAGGTTTGATTCCGGTCAAGGGCATGTACCTTGGTTGCAGGCACATCCCCAGTAGGGAGTGTGCAGGAGGCAGCTAATTGATGTTTCTCTCTCATCAATGTTTCTAATTCTCTATCCCTCTTCCTTCCTCTCTTTAAAAAATCAATAAAATATATTTTTAAAAATATTCAGGACAAATCCCTGATACCTAAGCAGAGATATCTGTCATTTTGTGAAGCTCTTATTTAGGAACCCTGGAAACCTCAGTTGCTAGTCTGGCAGTATGAGTGACTTTCTATGTGTTCTTGCACAAGCCATTTTAATTTCTCTACTTGATTCATTCACATGTAAAATGACATTAAAACCAGGTTTGTCAAATGTTATAATTTTTAATTCCTTTAAAAGAGAATACCAGCAATAGAAGTTATTGTTCTTCTGAACATCCAAATTAGAATATTTTAAGAGATATAGATTTGTTCTTTTAGAAAATGGAAACGTCTTTGCTCTTCTACAGACACCTCAGAAATATTTCTACAACTAGGAAGCATTTTATCTCTTGCCTTTTTAGTTGTTGTTGTTAATGCAAGAATATTTATTTATTTATTTATTTATTTATTTATTTATTTATTTATTTATTTATAGAGGAAGGGAGAGGGGCAGAGAAAGAGAGACACCACTGTGGGAGAGAAGCAGCCATTGGTTGCCTCCTGCATGAACCCTGACTGGGGATCGAATTCACAACCTGGGCATGTGCATTGAGGGGGAATGGGATGGTAGAACTTTGGGTGCATGGGATGCCACTCAACCAACTGAGCCACACTGGCCAGGACAAGGATACTTATTCTGCTACTATACTTTGTTTAGTAAGATATCTAAATAAGAGATGACAGCATTTTGTTCATACCAAATAGGAGAGGTCAGTGTAATAAGACCAGTCAGAGAAAGTTAATGGAAGATGCAGGGTCAGTGACCCATGTGCCAGCCCTTTATACCTTTTATCTTATTGATTCTCATAAAAATAGGGAGAATACAAGGCACATGAAGCCAGGAGAATAGTCTGAGTGAGGCTGTGGTGGACCTCGTGGAATGGGAGAACGCATGTGGGGAGGAGTAGAAATTTGGGGTGGAGAAAGTCTAGGAAAGTAGCAAGAGGAGTCAGGAAATGGAGGCCAGTGCACAGTCACATGATGAAAACGGGGCATTGGGAAGATAGCCACACTTTCCCTGTTAATGTATAAGACAGCTCTTACACCTCAACTACCTGTTGCTATGAGGGACACTAAAGATGATCCACTCAAAAATCCTAGGTTCAAGGCAGCCCATGATGGGCATGGCAAAATCCAGGCTTTTACTGTACAGGGTCTGGGAGAAGGGGAACCGATGTCTATTGAGTGTGATCTTGTACAAGTGATTTTGCCTCTGGGGCCCCAGTTTCTCACCCATTTATTCATAGATTAGAACTGGATGATCTCTGTTATTATATGCCTAGCGTTGGGCTATGGATTTTTGCATGCATTCTTTCACTAAATTCTCTCCTGAATCCTATGAGGTTAATTAATAATTTACCTTCCTAATTTAAAAATGAAAAGACAGAGGTCCATAGACGTTAATTAATTTGCATAAGAAGTGAAGCTGGGTTTTGAAACAATGACACTGATTCCAGATTCTGCTGTAGAAAAGTAGTTCTCAAAGTGTGGGGCCATTGACTCCTGAGGTACCTGGAGACTCTTTCAGGAGGTCCAGGGAGTCAAAACTATTTGCATAATTATATTAAGACATTTTTTGCTTTTTCCCCCCACTCCCCTTCATTCTTGATTATATAGTGAGAGGTTTCCAGAGACTACGTAATATGTATTATTATAAGACACTAGTGCCCTGGTGCATGGATTCATGCACATGGAAAGGAAATTAATTAGAAGGTGGCTGGTGGGGCAGGACTGGGCAAGATAGGCTAGGCATGCCCTGAAGCCAATCTCTCGCGGTCCCTCCCTGGAAGGCTGCACCTGGGTGGCACCATGGCTCAAAGGGTGTCTACTGAGTGAGCAGGGGTCCCTCTGGAAGGTGGGGTCCCTCAGCCTGGGCTGCAGGGATCGGGCCGAAACCAGCTCTCCGACATCCCCTGAGGGGTACTGGATTGCGAGAGGGCGGTTCTCGGGTGACACATCCTGGAATTGGGTTCCCTCCACTCTGGTTCTAGGGTGCGTCACCCGAGAACTGCCGCTGCCAAGTCACCGCAGCTCGGCAGCTCCTGCATTGAGCGTCTGCCCCCTGGTGGTCACTGTGTGTCATAGCTACTGGTTGGAGCATCTGCCCCTTGGTGGTCATTGTGCATCATAGCTACCGGTTGGATGGTTGGATGGTTGTTTAGCCTTTTATATATATAGATTAAGTGCAGAAGCAGATATGAAAATCCAGCCATAATCTATGAAGCCTGACATTAAAGATTTACAAAAATGTAAATCAAAACCACTTTCCCACTTACTTTTATTTTTTTGTTTTGATAAATATAGGTTTCCTTACTAAGAAATATTATCTATGTTAACTGATAAAGTATCTATAGTTGTTATTTAAATGAATTGATAAGCAAATATTTAAAACATTTCTATTTTGAGGTGCAATAATCAAAACATCATCGTATTGGCAGAGAAACAGATACACAGATCAGTGGAACAAAATAGAGAGCCCAGCTATAAAAACACATGCATATGGACAGATAATTTTTTACAAAGGAGTCATAAACACACGCTAGAGTAAAGATAGTCTCTTCAATAAATGGTGCTGGGAAAACTGGAAAGCCACATGCAAACAAATGAAACTGGATTACAGTTTGTCCCCATGTATAAAAATTAATTCAAAATGGATCAAAGACCTAGTATAAGACTTGAAACAATAGGTTACATAAAAGAAAATATAGGGACCAAACTTATGGACCTTGGTCATGGAGAACATTTTATGAACTTGACCCAAAAAGCAAGGAAAATAAAGGCAAAAAATAAATGAATGGAACTATATCAAACGAAAAAGCTCCTAAACAGCAAAAGAAACTGACAACAAAGCAAAGAGGCAGCCAACCAGATGGAAAATGATATTTGCAAACAGTAGCTCTGACAAAGGTTTAATTTCCAAAATATATAAAGAACTCATAAATCTCAACACCAAACAAACAAACAACCCAATCAAAAAGTGGGCAGAGAACCTGAAAATACACTGCTCTCAAGAAGACATATAAATAGCCAATAGATATATGAAAAACTGTTCAATCTCACTGGCAACTAGGGAAATGCAAATAAAAACTATAATGAGATACCATCTCAGACCTGTTAGAGTGGCCATTATCAATAAGACAAGCAATAACAAGTGTTGGAGAGGTTGTGGAAACAAGGAAACTCATCACTGCTGGTGGGAATGTAGACTGGTACAACCACTATGGAAAGCAATCTGGCTATTCCTCAAAAAATTAAGAATAGAGCTATCATATGACCCAGCAATTCTTCTCCTGGGTATATACCCGAAAAACTCGAAATCATGTATTCCCAAAGATATATGTGCCCCTATGTTCGTTGCAGCATTATTCACAGTGGCCTAGACATGAAAACAACCAAAGTGTCCCACTATAGCAGATTAGATAAAGAGGATGTGGTGCATGTACACAATGGAATACTAGCCCTCCATAAGAAAGAATGAATTACTACCATTTTCAACAACATGGATGGACCTTGAGAACATTATGCTAAGTGAAATAAGTCAGCCAGAAAAAGCTAAGAACTATATAATTTCACTCATATGTGGAATATAAAACTGAAACTCATGAACACAAACAGCAGTGTGGTGATTGCCAGAGGGAATGGGGTGTGAGGAGAAGGGAGTCCTAATATAAGGTGACAGGAGAAGATCTGACTGTGGGTGGTGGGCACAGGGTGCAATACACAGATCTTGTAACCTAGCAACTCATACCCGAAACCTATATGTTCATGTTGACCAATGTCATCCCAATAAATTTAATAAATAAAATAAATTTAAAAATATCCCCAGGTGATGATTAAGAAAAAGTGATAATAAAATAAAATTTAGCCCTAACCAGTTTGGTTCAGTGGATAGAGCGTCAGCCTGCAGACTCGAGGGTCCCAGGTTCAATTCCGGTCAAGGGCATGTACCTTGGTTGCGGGCACATCCTCGGTAGGGAGTGTGCAGGAGGCAGCTGATTGATGTTTCTCTCTCATCGATGTTTCTAACTCTCTATCCCTCTCCCTTCCTCTCTGTAAAAAATCAATAAAATATATTTAAAAATAAATAAATAAAATAAAATTTAAAAAGAATAAAAACATAAAAATAAAACATTTCTGCTTTAAGTTCCAGAACAGTACCTGCTGATAAATGTAACTGCATAAACAAAGCTCTTCAGATTTCACCATTATTTTTCAGAGTGTAAAGAGGTCTTGAGACCAAAAAGTTTGAGAGCTACTTCTATAGAACATACTGTAGTATGGTGCTACTTCTCAATATTTTATGGTTATGTGAACTATTTTTGTTTTTTTATCCCTTTGATCACCGTAAATTCCAAATGATCTCTCAAGAATATACTGAACATTTTTCAGACAAGGGAAAGACGTCTATGGAATGACAATTCAAAGCTTAACTTTTAAAATAAGCAATTACCCCAAGCACTATTTTTCATTCCTCTCTGGCCTGCTCTCTCACCATACCATGGAAGCTCAGTCCTGGGAGAATGAGTGGAATGCAATAAAATTCAGGGTGATCTCAGAACCCTCTATCTCCTATCCAGGCTTTCAGAATGGGGTTGTACCAAAGTGAATCTGCATATAGTGTCTGAGTCTAGGGCATGACAGCACATGGGCCTGGTGCATTTAGCTATGGAACATACACACTTGATTAGTTAATGTCCTAAGGTTGAAGCAATCTTTTTTCATCAAATCCTACCTATTCTTCAAATGCACAAAGGTTTTCTAAGTACTAGGAGGAAATATTGCACTCTTCCATTTACACATCACCCACAACATTTGAATTTCTTCTATTTAGCTCTTCATTATATTGTATTAGATTTTTTTCCAAATAATAATGCTCAATATGTTTAAAACATGAACCTATCTTTTCCTCACAACTTGCACTTGTTGAGTTTATTATACATCAACACTCATCCAACAAAATGCATCATCAAGTGCAAGAATTCGGCCATCATTGTTTATTCTTCCTTCCCCCTAAAATTTTACACTCATTTAATCTATTTTACAACCTCACCATTAACAACTCTGTTTTACAAATGAGATGAGTGAAACTTCGAGAGAAAAAATAACTCATTAGTAAATGATGGAGCAGGAATTCAAATTCAGGTTATATGAGTTCAGAGATTAATATCTTACCAATAAACTTTACTGTTTATTTCATATGACTGGTAACTTGTTCTCCTAATATCAGCAATAGCCTAGCAACAACTACAACATTAACATTTTCAAGAACAACAATATGTACCCCTGCCAGAGTCATTCAGTTCATTGGACATTGTCCTGTGCTGGGAAAGGTTGCCCGCAACTGATCAATGTCTCTCTCTCACATTGATGTTTCTCTCTCTCTCTCTCTCTTTCCCTTCTGCACTCTCCTTTCTCTCTAAGCATGCCCTCAGGTGAAGATTTTTTTTAAAAAAAAGAGTAAGTAACAATAATAAAAACAACTGCCACTTGCTGAATTCTTATTATTTTCAGTCAGTGTATTGCATAATTTATATGAATTTTCTCATTTAATTCACACCATAGCCATATGAGGTAACTGCTATCTATTGCAATTTTATAGGTGAGGGAATGAGGCTCAGAAAACTTAAATAATTTGCTTGAGGTCACTGGTGATAAATGGTTGCATAAAAGGCAAGAATATGAACCAAGACCTGTTTGATTTCAAATCTCTACTTCTAACCACAGTGTTCCACTGTCTTGTTTTTGTTTGTTTGTTTTATTTTGTTAGTCCTCACAAAGGATATTTTTCCATTGATTTTTTAGAGAGAGTGGAAGGGAGGGGGTGAGAGAGACAAACATGTATTGAAAGAGACACATTGATTGGTTGCCTCCTGCACGCACCCCAACCAGGAATGGAGCCTGAAAGTAAGGTACATGCCCTTGACTGGAATCAAACCTGGGACCCTTCAGTCCGCCAACTAACGTTCTATCCACTGAGCCAAACTGGCTAGGGCTGCACTGCCTTGTTTTAATGAGAAAGTTCGTGGTGGGTAAAGATCTTACAGCGGCAAGATTCACTCTTTGGAATTAGACGGATATGAGTGTGAAACTCATTTCAAACAGACAATCTGTATGACTTAAGCAAAGTTATTAAACCTCCATTGTGAAAGTGTCAACAATGACAGTCTAACAGAGCTGTGATTATAAAGGTTACATATCTTACCCAGCACAGGAGAGGTATTCAGTAAACAAGGAAAACAAGGCTCGGAGAGAAGAAGATAAATCACTCATCCAGGATCACACAGAGAGAAAGCTCTGAGAAAGAGACTCCAATCCAGGTCCTCAGACTTTAAATAAAATGTTCTTCCCATTACTACACACTGCCTCAGTAAATAGGGAATTTTATGAAATGACCTCTTAGTTTCTCTATTTATATCTGAATCCAGCCTCAGACTGGATTGAAGAAACGTATATTGCAGAGAAAAAGAACTTTTTACACATATGTATAATATCTGTTGGTATTTTTACCAGACAATTTTGAATAGAGAAGATTAAGATATACCCTCCTCAAAACCATCAATAACCATTGAGATGCATCAAATTGCATTGACTCAGTAATTATACTTCCAGCAATCTAGTCTCAAAGAATGGAAAAAAAAAAACTATATACATGAAAATGTTTAGTGTAGTCTTTTAAAATAATTATGCAAAATTAAAAATAATAAAATATCTTACATTATTATTAAACTAAAGGCCGGATGCACAGAGTTCATGGAAGGGGCTTGGGCCTCACAGCCCTGCCTGCCTTGTCAGCCCTCACAGCCCCAGCTGCCTCGGCCAGCCCTCCCACCCCCTGCTTCGTCAGGAAGGTTGCCCGGAAGGTCGTCTGGACAGTTGTTCTGCTGTTCGGTCTAATTAGCATATTAGCTCTTTATTATATAGGATGATTTGGGAGAATATCTACTCCAAAGGATATTACACATCTATTCTTGGGATGCTATGAAGATTATGCAGTTATAGGAAAGTTACTTTTAGAATGATGTAAAGTGAAATCAGAAGGCTAAAAAAATTGTTCCTATGTGATCCCAAACATGTTCTTAAAAACAAGAAACTGAGAAGCATATAAATATCCAGGCTGCTAGAAATGATCAGTGGTGATTTTTTCCTCATATTTTACCTAATATTTTATTCTACATATTTTATCTAATGTTATAAAGTTTATTTTAATAATTAAAAGATACAATGAAGAACTGCAACACTAAATTCTATTGGAAATTTATTATATTAACTATGTTTTATTATAATAGCCACCAGAGAAGTAAAGAGTGAACAGGTGAATTAAAAATCCCAGAAAAAAATTCAGCATCTATATGAATTTTACTCCCTAATTCATCTTCTTGACTGGAAACCCTAGGAAATCTCAGGTCCAGACCAAATTTTGTTCCTGAGCAGTTGCAGGAGGAAACATGACGCCTCTCCGAAAATGAGAAATAAATCCAGTTTTTATTGAAATGCTATCTGGGGCATTTCACTGCTGCGAACACCTGGCATCCCCTGAGTCAGGCCATCCCCAGAGCAAGGTAGATAATGAGTGAAGTCTAGCAATCTAGTCTCAAAGAATAAAAAAAAAAACCCAAAACAACTATATACATGAAAAGGCTTGGCGTAGTCTTTTAAAAACAATTATGCAACAGTAAAAATAACATAATATCTTACAACAGGGAATTATTAAATGTGGTCGGACTCAAATCCTTCTGTCTGAGAATCTACTGCCTTGAAATAAAAAGGGGTTGTGGGACAGGCCCTTAGGAAAGGTTGGTGATCAGGCAAAGAACACAAGATCTTCACTTAGCAACCCTTTGATCCCAGAGGTTGTAACAGGGAGGAGGAGGATTCTGTTACCATATTCTTACCATAATCCTTCAGATGCCGATTCACGATTTTCACTCCCTGTCTCACTGCACTTTCCAGCTTTACCGGGGGCTCTGGGAAGGCTGAGTTTTTCATTATCAGGACGCTGATCTCGTAGGTGCCATTGTTGCATTTCTGAATCACCTCGTTGTTGAGACACATCAGCCCTGGACAGAGGAGCAGTAACCACAGAGTCAAGCCCAACAGTGGTTTCTTCATGACCTCGCTCACCTCAGAACCATACTCCTTGTGCTCAGTTGCTTTACTCTGGGCTTTTAGGGAGACAGGAGCTCCGGCTGGACAGCCTCTAGCTAGGTCCCTCGGTCTGCTCTGCCGCACATTTCTTTCTGGTCAGACCCCACTGGTCACATGAGCCATGGAATACAGCCTGCTCGCCAGTAATAAGCAGCTACATTATGGTAGGAGATAAACCAAAGTTCACTTTTTGTGTTTGCTCACAGAAAGGTCAGAGTTATAAACGGAGATTACCTGGGCCTCACCCAATAAAAATACATCAATTTATGACACATCATTGGAAGAGGGAAGTATAGTATGTACATAAAACGTTTTGTAATGTGGAAAAAAAAAGTCAAAAGGCTTAACAAAAGCACAAATATGATGGACTGCTAGTGTTTAGATTATAACTGTGCATTGAAACTGAATCCTTAACTAGGAAGAACTGTTTTTCAACCACTCAGTTGGCAATTATTTATTGAGACCTGACTATGTGTTGGGTATTGGCAAAACACTGGGCATACAGATATGAATGATATGGGTGCATTAATGTCCTTATGATACATGCATTCTAGGAGGGCAGATAAACATTAAACAAATACTTAAGAATAAATTGAACAATGAAAAAAGTGCAAAATGTTGTGGGAGCATATGACAGATTAACCTAATCTATTCTAGGAAGTCAAGGAAGCGTTCCTTGGAAAGCATTCTTTAAGTTGAACCCTGCAGGATCCATAGGAATGCAAAAGAGGGCATGTGAGGGAGGGAGACAGCTTGTGCAAAGGCCCAGATATGGGAAGTGGTATGGATGTTTGAAGAACTGAAAGAGGTGCAGAATGGCTGGCATGGAGAGAGGTATGAGTCCAGTGGCAGTAAAAGATGCCAGAGGAGTAGCCGGGTAGGCCATGGGGTTTCCTGTAAGCCATTAAGAATTTGGAACTTAAGGATAAGAATCAAGACAAGGATGTGATCAGATGAAATTTGTAAAGTGGTCTTGAAGAGGTCTTAGGCTGCTAAGGGAGGATTAACTTGGAGAGAGGCAGGAGTGGGGACATGGAACAAATCAGGAGGCTGTTTCTATGGTCCAATTCAGAAGTAAAGGAGGTCTGGATGAGGGAAGTGGCAGCGGAGATGGGATCAAGAGACAGCTATAAGGTAAAATGGGTTAGACTGATATTGTATTAGATTTGGGGCATTCGAGTCAGAGAGGAGTCAATGGTGACCGCCGATATGCTCAGCTGTGTAGATGGGAAAACTGTGGACTACGTTCTAGAATTCCGCGAAAGGAGCAGCTTTGAGGGAGAAGAGCATGACTTCTGTTTGTGGACATGCTGATTTTAAGGAGACTGTGCAAGTGTGAGAATAGTCGCCATGGAGTTTGGGAAGAGGACCTGGATCTAAACAGGGTTTTGGGAATAGAGTCACAAGTGTGATATGACTGATCAAATAATGCCATTGTTTGCGTCATTGATTTGATGACCACTTGTGGCAAAATGTATGTTCTAAAGTGAGTGACATCAACAAGATGGAGGACTAGGAGGTCCCAGCCTTCATCCCTCCACAAAAAGAATAAATTAACCATCACTCACTGATAAAAATAGCTGTGGGAGAGCTTTGGAGTACAATGAAGGAGCTGCAGCAACCAGTGGAACACAAAAACCAAGATGGTCCCACCAGTTTGAAACGCAGTTCGAGGGGGTAGGCAGTGGGATCTCACCGGGTGTCTGACTAGTCCTTTCTCTACCTTGCTTTTTTGAGCTTCAGCAGAATTGGCTGGCAGTAGGGCTGGGAGGAGCTCAGGTTTCCTGTCAGTAGAGAACTAGTTTCCGGTGGGCACTTTATTCACACCTGAAATCTAGGATAGCCAGCCATGGACGTGTGGGCGTGACTGCTGCTGTACACGACACAGTAACCTAGAGTACTTCACCATCGAGGTACTTGAATTGGCAGGAAATACATCGAATGATTTTTTTTTTTAAATTGATTTCAGAAAGGAAGGGAGAGGCAGAAAGAAATAGAAACACCAATGATGAGAGAGAATCATTGATTGGCTGCCTCTTGCACGCCCCCTACTGGGGACCAAGCCCACAATCCCTGCCTGTGCCTTTGACCAGAATCGAACCTGGTACCTTTCAGTCCTTTCAGTCTGCAGGCGGAGGGTCTATCCACTGAGCAAAACCGGCTAGAGCAATGTGGAAAGATTTATTATTAGTTATTATTATTTATTTATTATTTATTAAATAATTTATTATTTACTTATTAATTATTATTTATTTATTATCCCTTGTCATTTGAAACTTGTTATTCGTGGAGATACAAGGCTGGCTATTCAAGGCTACGATTGCTGGTAGTGGTGATATTCTACACATCTACAAATCTGTAATTGGGAAGAAAGGATAACAGAAGATTATGTAAAGGATGCCCGGATTTCTCTTATGTCAGGACTCTAAATTCTCTAACAACTGTCCAGTGTTGGTGATTCCAGTGGACTGTATCTCTGTGAAAAAAACTAAAATCCCCACAATTTTGCCTTTTTGTAATTCTATTTGAGCACGTTGGAAGTTTAATTAGCTTTCCAACCAATCAAATTTCTGCATTCGACTCTTAAATATGATTAAACATATTTAAATATTACTGTGGCTTCAAAAAACTATTGATTCTGAAGTAGTGGGTTTTGATTGAGTTGACTGTTTTGTTTGTTTGTTTTTAAACACTGGATTTCACCTAATGCCAGATAGTCAGGTGACTAAAAGGCTTTGGTGTTGCTGAGCACTCAAATGGGTTTGGATATGCAAACCTTCTGAGTTAGGCATAGAGAAACATAAATTGCTTTATATACATGAAGAAAATTTGAAGTTCCCAGAGACCATCAGGAAGGAGGGAGTGAGGAGGAGAGGTGGAAAGAGAAATAGGGAAAGAAGTGCCAAGATGGCAAGAGGCTGGGAGCTACGTAGAAAAAATGGCCAGTGACAAAGGCCTGGTGAGATGGGGGCTGAAGACTTTTAAGAACAATACGAGGTTGCTTGTATTTTCCCTGAGGAAGGAATGCCTTACTTCATCTGTACAACAGCTATTTATTGAGTGCCCTCTACTTGTTCTCAGCGTCTGAGTTATAACATGAATGAACACATTTCTGCCTTCATAATTGTATTCTACTGGGAATTTAAAACTGATGAAACTGGTCAACTCTTCCCAAATATTCAGTCAAGTCTGTGCCATATACAACTTGCCTAATTTGTGGAAAGTATGGAAAGATCCTCAGTCTGTGTCAGATTGGGGGTTGGGGAGAGGAGGTGGGGAGACAGGAACGGGATGGCTAGAAGCAGGAGTTTCAAGACAGAGAGATCGTGGCAACACAAGACTTCAGGATTTGAAGGAATATTGGGGAGGATTTTTGGACTTTGTACAAGTATGTAATGAGATTCAATGTAATCTTATCTAGAGCACAAAGTAGGGTGACCCTACTAACCCCAAATCGCTGTTGTAGACTAGGGCTGCATATCTAGATCTAGGATGCTTCCGAACTAACAGGTTTGTTTCTTTTCCTTAAGATACCTATTTCCTGGAGTCTTCCCCTTCCTCAAGAGAAACGATATTTAATCCCTGAGCAAAGTCTTCCTCTCCTTCCTTCCCCAGTCCCTTTTGTATAGTATTCCTATGTGTTCAGGAAGAGCTGGGGGAGGTGATGGTCATGCACTTGCCAGAGGTCGCTGGAAATCTGTTAAGTTTCCTAGTGATCCTTGGGCTCGCTCTTCTGTCCAGGTGGCTGTGTTTAGATACGATGGGAAGTATGGGTTGGAGACAGTAGTATCTCATGTATCTCAGCTGTAATAAAGTTCCTTGTGCTCTGGAAACAGAAGGAAGCAGGCAGTCAGTACAGTCCCTGTTGTCAAAGAGTGGTTAGTGGGGAACCAAGATGGCGGCATAGGTTAACGCTGGAGTTTGCTGCTTTGAACAACTACTTCAAAAGTGAAACCAAAAAACGGAAGGGACATCACCCAGAACCACAGGAACGCTGCCTGAGTGGAAGTCCTACAACTAGGAGGAAAGAGAAACGCGTACGGACACTCAGAGGAGGCGCAGTGCTGAAGTCAAATTCTGAGGTGCGGAGTGCGCGAGCGGGCTGGCGGCGGAGGGCGCGGTTGGCGTTTTCAATCGGGAGGGAGTCGCAGACTCTGAGCTCCAGATCCGGGCGAGTCTTTAGGGACCCAGACTCAAACGGGAGAAGCGGGACTGTCTGGCTTCGGTCAGAGCGAGTGCAGCTTTCTCTCTGAGCTTTGCAGCGGGTGCTGGGACTCAGAGAGGCAGAGACCCTGGGGACAGGACTGAGAGCCGCCATAACTGCTCTCTCCGGCCCACCCTGTTGATCCTGTGCGACCCGCCCCGCCCAAGCCCTGCACACAGGCATTTGCCGGATAGCCTCAGGCAAAGGCTAGATTAGCACCTCCCTAGAGGACAGAAGTTCTCTCACTGCTGACACAGCTGATTCTCATAGCCACTTGGCCTGGAGGTCAAACCCTCCCTGGAATTAGCTACAACAATCAAGATTTAACTATAAGACTGTGAACAAAGACCACTAGGGGGTGCACCAAGGAAGCATAACAAAATGCGGAGACAAAGAAACAGGACAAAATTGTCAATGGAAGATATAGAGTTCAGAACCACACTTTTAAGGTCTCTCAAGAACTGTTTAGAAGCCGTCGATAAACTTAATGAGATCTACAAGAAAACTAATAAGACCCTCGATCTTATATTGGGGAACCAACTAGAAATTAAGCATACACGGACTGAAATAACGAATATTATACAGACTCCCGACAGCAGACCAGAGGAGCGCAAGAATCAAGTCAATGATTTGAAATGCGAGGAAGCAAAAAACACCCAACCGGAAAAGCAAAATGAAAAAAGAATCCAAAAATGCGAGGATAGTGTAAGGAGCCTCTGGGACAGCTTCAAGCGTACCAACATCAGAATTATAGGGGTGCCAGAAGATGAGAGAGAGCAAGATATTGAAAACCTATTTGAAGAAATAATGACAGAAAACTTCCCCCACCTGGTGAAAGAAATGGACTTACAGGTCCAAGAAGCGCGGAGAACCCCAAACAAAAGGAATCCAAAGAGGACCACACCAAGACACATCATAATTAAAATGCCAAGAGCAAAAGATAAAGAGAGAATCTTAAAAACAGCAAGAGAAAGAAACTCAGTTACCTACAAGGGAATACCCATACGACTGTCAGCTGATTTCTCAACAGAAACTTTGCAGGCCAGAAGGGAGTGGCAAGAAATATTCAAAGTGATGAATACCAAGAACCTACAACCAAGATTACTTTATCCAGCAAAGCTATCATTCAGAATTGAAGGTCAGATAAAGAGCTTCACAGATAAGGAAAAGCTAAAGGAGTTCATCACCACCAAACCAGGATTATATGAAATGCTGAAAGGTATCCTTTAAGAAGGGAAAGAGGAAGAAAAAGGTAAAGATACAAATTATGAACAACAAATATGCATCTATCAACAAGTGAATCTAAGAATCAAGTGAATAAATAATCTGATGAACAGAATGAACTGTTGATTATAATAGAATCAGGGACATAGAAAGGGAATGGACTGACTATTCCTGGGGGGGAAAGGGGTGTGGGAGATGCGGGAAGAGACTGGACAAAAATCGTGCACCTATGGATGAGGACAGTGGGTGGGGAGTGAGGGCGGAGGGTGGGGCGGGAACTGGGAGGAGGGGAGTTATGGGGGGAAAAAAAAGAGGAACAAATGTAATAATCTGAACAATAAAGATTTAATTAAAAAAAAAAAAAAAAAAAAAAAAAAAAAAAAAAAAAAAAAAAAAAAAAAAAAAAAAAAAAAAAAGAGTGGTTAGTGGGGCCGATAGTTCAATCCTGAAAAATGGACTCTGTTTTCTTGAGCCAGATATTACTCTTGTGTGTGTATGTGTTGTTGTTGTTTTATTTTCCTCCTGGGAGGGCTGAAGGATTACTTCCTCATACTGTAGTTATCTAGATTAAAACGATAGCTTGGGAAAGAAGGAAAGAGGACAGTGATATCAGTTCCTTGGAGTGCAAACTCCTCCTGAATGGAGTAAATGTCAGTCAGAGCTGTTTATTGAAACATCCTTAGCAGGTAGTTGGAAAGGCAGGGCACGCATTAAAGAACTGAATGGTATATCTTGAGATAAAGAAGAGCTTGAGTTTCCAGAAGGCAGTTTGATATTCTTAAACAAAAAACAGAACACACAAAACTTGGAGTTAGATTTGAATCTCATTTTAGCTGTTTGCTAAGCATATGGACTTGGGTAGATGACCTAAATTTGCTGATGTTCAGTTTTCTTATTTCTAAAATAAATTTAGTTTCTATTCTAGCCATTAACCTGCACTGCCAGCCTTGTTGGAGTTTGGACATGGGTAGATGTGTCAGATGATGGATAGGATTTGCCCAAATGATATCCACTTATCTGGAGTTGAAGAGCCACATTGGAGGCAATTCATTCTTAGGGAAAAGCCAAGCATTGCACTGTGGAAGTTCAGCGCCCCATTACTTAAATCTGTCTCCAGTCCAGCCCATCTATGCATGTCTTAGTTCAAGGGAGAAAAAGATCTGGAATAACTGAAAGAACAACTCAATAAAGGACTTAGTGGAATAGTAAGTTGTAGACATCATTGCTTACGAGTCCTCTGACAGGTTTCACCACATTAAGGAGAGGGATATTGTTCCCCACTTGGTCAAAGATTGACACCCTGCGCTGGCACTGTGAGGGTCCTCCACGGTGGTGCCAAGGCCTGCTGGCGCGGTGGCAGCACCCAGGGGGCAGGGGTAGGGCTGCGGAATATTAACACATTGTACCTCCGGGGAGCAGAACCTGCCGGAGACCCTCATGCTCAGTGGGCGCATACCAGTACCCAGTACAAACAGGTTTAATGGACACTATTCGACATGCCTAGTAACTTCTAGAAATATATGCTCACAGGAGCAACAGCAAGTGAAAGTTAAGTTACTCCTGTTGCTA